GGGGGCAGGACGGAGCGCAGTCTGGGACACTTTGCACATTGTTTTCGATTCCTATGCGCATGCGCACCCTGGTTCCATGTTCTCTCTCCCTCTTCCTCCCTCCCTCTCTCTCTCTCTCTCTGTCTGTCTCTTCTGTCTCTCTCTTTCTTTTTTCTACCTCTCTCTTTCCCTCTTTTTCTTTTTTCTTTCTTTCTCTCTCTGTCTCTCTCAAACTGTATTTCTTTTTCTACCTCTACCTCTCTCTCCCCCTCTCTCTGTCTTTTTTTCTCTTTCTTTCTTTCTTTCTTTCTTTCTTTTTATCTCTCTCTTTCTCTCTCTTTCTTTCCCTTTCTTTTTTTTCTCTCTCTCTTTCTCTCTGTCTCTGTGTCTTTCTTTTTCTACCTCTCTCTCTCTTGCTGTCTGTCTTTCTCTCTCTCCCTCCCTCTCTCTGTCTTTCTTTCCCTTTCTTTTTTTTTTTTGTTTCTTTCTTTCCTTTCGTTTTCTTTTTCTCTCTCCTTCTTTCCCTTTCTTTCTCTCTCTCTTTCTTTCTCTGTCTCTTTTTCTACCTCTACCTCTCTCCCTCTCTCTCCCTCTCTGTCTGTCTGTCTTTCTTTCTTTTTCTTTCTTTCTTTCTTTCTTTCTTTCTTTCTTTCTTTCTTTCTTTCTTTCTTTCTCTCTCTCTCTCTCTCTGTTCTCTCTCTCTCTCTCTCTTCTCTCTCTCTCTCTCTCTTTCTCTGTCTGTCTCTTTTTCTCTCTCTCTTTCTTTTTCTACCGCCACCTCTCTCCCTCTCTCTCCACCCTTCCCTGTCTATTCTCTTCTCTTTTTCGCTGCTGGAAAAGTTGACTTCACATCTCAGCCCCACCTCTGGGGCCCCTCGCTGCATCCAAGCCTCTCAGAACCGCTGGCCAAATAAACTCTGCACACACAATCGGAGACCAACACTTTACACACGCACAATTGCACACCCTTCCTCCCACCCAGCCGGCTTGTGCAAGAGCCAGCCTGATTCAGAAGGGGCTTCATTTCAGTCACAAAGCCAAGTTCAAACTAGAATCAGCCAGTTGCAGCAAGTGTGTGTTTTTTTTAAAAAAAAATTCCTTTGCACACCCTTCTTTGCACACCAGGCTGTGCTCACATGCTCAGCTGTGGAAGATCTATCAATCTCTCAAGCTGGTTAGGCTTAGTGTGGTGAGTTTCTTGGAGGCTTAATCTACTGTGTGAATTCAGCTTGTTTAGCTATTTTATGGTTCAGATTTATAGTGCAAATGTAGAACACGGATTAACAGTGGGCGAAGATTCCCGATTCGTCTTGGTATCTCCGGTTAAAATAATGTTTATGAAGGAAAGCTATTTTTCTGCCTGACAACCATTGGACCATCTTGGCTTATTGCAGAGTACTCTGATTAAATGATGGTTTAGAACAGTGGTTTTTAAAACTTGGCACCCTTTAAGATGGGGGGGGGAGGGACTTCCCCTCCCAGAATTCCTACACAGCATGCTGGGAGTTGATATTTATACAACTTAAAGATGCCAAATGATTTCAAATAATAGAAGAATAAAATACAGAAATATAAAGCGCTACATAAAACGTTCTATTTCTAAATTCGTTAATACAGTTTATTGCAAATTGTGTCCGAAACTAAAAGTTAAAGAGTCCAATTGATAGTGCTTTTTTAAATAAAATTAGTCCCGCACTTAACAACTATAGTTGCGACCAGAATTTTAATTACTAATCAAGGCAGATGTTTAAGGCTACCTTTGGGTCACAGTTCTTAAGTAACAACTGCAGTTGTTAAGTGAAACAGGCAGTCATTAAGCAAATCCAGCTTCCTCTATTGCAGTGTTTCTCAACCTTGGAAGCTTCAAGATGGGTGGACTTCACTCCCAGAAACACTGCTCTATTGCTTGCCGGAAACTGGCTGTGAACGTCAATTGCATAACCTTGGGATGCTCAACAGGCATATACCAGTTGCTAAGCACCCAAATTTTAGATCACATGATTGTGATGGTCGTAAGAGTGAGGAGCGGTCGTAAGTCATGTTTGGCTTTGAACGGTCGCTAAAAGCTTGCTTGTACGTCGAGGATTTACCTGTATTATGTAAAATGACTTTGGCAACGAAGTCATTTTAATAATAATAGATTAAATACATTATTAATGCATTAATAACCCACATTTCATATTGAATGAAAATAAGACAGAAGTAAGAATCGATGGAGAGTAAGACATAAGATATGCTAATAAATTTTTGAGTAAATAGGCAGCTGCCTTTGAAATTTTGCCAGGCAAAAAAATATCTAGGAAGCAGAGTGAGGTCCTCAACTTATGACCAACGCCGAGCCCCAAATGTCTGTTGCTAATTATTGCTAGACAGTGATTTTTGCCCCATTTTACGACCTTTCTGGTTGCAGTTGTTAAGTGAATCAGTGCGGTTGTTAAATTAGTAATACAGTTGTTAAGTGAATCATGTTTCCCGGTGACTTTGTTCATCAGAAGGTCGCAAAAGGCGATCCCATGACCCCGGGAACTCTGCAACCGTCATAAATACAAGTCACTTGCCGAATTTTGATCACGTGACCAGTGACTCTGTGAGTGGTGCGGTGGCCTGGAGGTGGAACTCTCGCCTCACAATCAGGAGTTCAATCCTAGGTAGAGGCAGATATTTCTCTCTCTGGGAATCATGAGAATATATCTGCCGCGAACTCCGCAATGGTGACAGGAAAGGCATCTGGCCAGTAAACATTCAGTTGCCCAGACTCCACCCCGCAAGGGATTGTGGGCTCATTAAAAGAGGATGATGATGACCAGTGACTCCGTGACGGTAGCAGCAGTTGTGAGGACTAGTTGTAAGTCACTTTTTTTAGTGCCGTTGGACCTTTGAACGGTCACTAAATGAATGGTTGTAAGCCGAGGTGCGTTGGACAAACTACGAAAAGGCGTTTGGCTGCCGTCATCAAATCCGAAAGCCGGTTTACGGTCGCGATTGAAGGCCCAGGGTTAGAAAATGGAAGGTTGAGAGTTCTAGTCCTCCCACCGGTATCAGACCAGCTGGGCGACGCTAAGCCAACATTGACTCACTCCCAGCTCTAGGAAAGAAGCCAGGGCAAACCGCTTCCGAAAAACGTGGCCAAAGAGCTCCGTTGGGACGTGGCCAGGCCACCGTTGGCAGTCAACCCCGACTCCGAGGGACCCAAACAGTCTTAACGTGGTTTGAAGCCGCTGCTTGTTTCTCTTTTTCTCCAAAGTGTTTGTTATGTTGGCTATTTCAGGAAAAGCAGTGGAAAATTTGACGGCAGCCCACGCTCAGCCTTCCGGCCTGGCAGAGCGCAAATCTTTTCCAGAAGACACAAGTTGACACCTGCAGTCTCGCCTCCGTTTTGGAGAGAGGCAGGGGTTGTGCATCCAATTTCTGATTCATGCCTCGGTTTACACGGAAACACATACAAACGCATACCACTGTCTGAACCCCTTTGCAACCGCCGTTTTGGTCTCTGCGGGCCGATAACTACCATGTTTCCTCGAAAATAAGACCCTGTCTTATAGTTCTTTGAACCCTGAACTAAGCGCTTGGCCTTATTTTCAGGGAGGTCTTATTATTTTGGGGCGCGTGGAGCAAGACGGGGTTCCTCTCGCCGTCTTACCTGATTTCCAGCTCTGCATTTAAATATTTTCGGGGGGAGGCTTATTTTAGTGCATGCGCTCAAAAGCCCGATTGGGCTTATTATCAGGGGATGTCTTATTTTGGGGGAAACAGGGAGTAGAGTAGAGTAGAGTAGAGGATAGGATAGGATAGGATAGGATAGGATAGGATAGGATAGGATAGGATAGGATAGGATAGGATAGGATAGAATAGAATAGAATAGAATAGAATAGAACAGAACAGAACAGAACAGAACAGAACAGAGTTGGAAGGGACCTTTGGAGGTCTTCTAATCCAACTCTGTTTAGGCAGGAAACCCTACACCACTTCAGACAAATGGTTATCCAACATCATCTTAAAAACTTCCAGTGTTGGAGCATTCACAACTTCTGGAGGCAATTTCTGTTACACTGGTTAATTGTCCTCACTGTCAGGAAATTTCTCCTTAGTTCTAGGTTGCTTCTCTCCTTGATTAGTTTCCACCCATTGCTTCTTGTCCTGCCTTCAGGGGCTTTGGAGAAGAGCTTGACTCCCTCTTCTTTGGGGCAGCCCCTCAAATATTGGAAGACTGCTATCATGCCTCCCCTAGTCCTTCTTTTCATCAAACGAGACCTACCCAATTCCAGCAACCGTTTTTCATACCTTTTAGTCTCCAGTCCCTTAATCATCTTCGTTGCTCTTCTCTGCACTCTTTCCAGAGTCTCAACATCTTTTTTACATCGTGGCGACCAAAACTGGACGCAATATTCTTTAATTAAAAGTTTAATTTTAATTTTTTAGGGGGGCAGCAGCCTCATTGATATTCCCAATATCCCAATTTTCCAATATCCCAATTTTCAAGCGAGGGATGGAATCTAATCAAGGAGAGACCCAACCTAGAAATAAGGAGAAATTTCCTGGCGGTGTCAAAGTTGGGTTGATGAGTAGAAAGCCAAAAAGAGCGGGGGGGGGGGCAAGAGGGGGGCTGACCCATGCCAAAATAACAAGGGGGTCTTTTTCTTTTTTTTCTCCCCCCCCCTTCCCTGTTGCAGTGGTTTGTCCTTTGCCCTGCATGAACGGCGGTCAATGCACATCTGGCAACCACTGTCTGTGCCCCCCGGAATTCACCGGCCGCTTTTGCCAGGTGCCCGTGAATCGCCAGGGGCAGCAGGCGCGCCCCCACAGCGATGGGTCCCCTATGGAGACAGGTTCCAGCAAACACGCCATTTACGCCGTCCAGGTCATGTCTGATCATCACAGTGACAGCCCTTCGGGGCCGAGTTCAAAAAGCACCGTGAGCCATTCCACCTTTATGGTTCCCCTGGGACATCACTCCTCCGAAGGTAAGGGAGAGAAAGTGGGGGCTGGGCTCGGGGGCTGTTTGGGGGGGGGGTAGGGTGGAGCGATAAACCCCCCTTGAGGGAAAGCAGATTTTCTCCAACTAATAAATATTACCTTAATTGGATAAACGACCGAGATCAGTGATGACAAACCTTTTCGGCACTGAGTGCCCAAACTGGAACACACGTGTATCCACGTGCACATGTGCACGCCGGAGCACCGGAAATCCGAAGACCAGCTGGCTGGCGCGCACATGTTTTTTGGCCGTCTTATAGGCCATTTTCAGGCTGTTTTTCAGCCATTTTGGGCCGTTTTCAGACTGTTTGGGGCCATTTCCCGGCTGTTTTCCAGCCTGTTTTCAGGCTGTTTTTCGACTTGTTTTCAGGCCGTTTTGGGGCCGTTTTATAGGCCATTTTCAGGCTGTTTTTCAGCCATTTTCTGGGCCGTTTTTAGGCTGTTCTTTGGGGGCGTTTTCAGGCCATTTTTCAGCCATTTCCTGGCCGTTTTCAGGCTGTTTTTCTACTGTTTTCTGGCTGTTTTGGGGGCTGTTTTCAGGCCGTTTTATAGGCCATTTTCAGGTTTTTTTCAGGCCGTTTTTTTGGCTGTTTTCAGGCTGTTTTTGGGGGCGTTTTCAGGCCATTTTTCAGCCATTTCCTGGCCGTTTTCAGGCTGTTTTTCTACTGTTTTCTGGCTGTTTTGGGGTTGTTTTTAGGCCATTTTTCCAGGCCATTTTCAGGTTGTTTTCAGGCTGTTTTTCCAGCCATTTCCCGGCTGTTTTCCAGGCTGTTTTCAGGCCGTTTTTCGGCTGTTTTGGGGCCATTTTTGGGGCTGAAAAATGTCCTAAAAATGTCCAGAAAAGCCCAAAAATGGCCGTTTTCCAGCGGTCCAGCACCTGCAAAGACCAGCTGGCGAGCGCGCATGTGCACACCAGTAACCAAAAGAGCAGGTGGCAATGGCGAGCGTCCCCTCAGAGCATGCCATAGGTTTGCCATCACGGGCCTAGATACTAATCTATAGAATACTTATTCAAGTCTCATGAATCAATATATTTCAAAACGTAACCAATAACTTATACGTCACTTCTTTAATTCCTCATACCTTACAAAACTGAATACGTATTTCCATGAGGAAAAACGTTTGTATTTCAGGGTTGAGGTGAGGGGTCCTTGGTGTTCTCTGAGCTTTTCTTGCAGACGTTTAATTACCCAACTAGGTAACATTGTCAGGGGTAGTAGGGAGTGGGGTTTGTGGAGAGGAGGAGGAGAGGAGGAAAAGGACTGTGGGTCCTTGATGAGCTTGGTGGTTTTCTTCCAGACATTTTATTACCCAGCTAGGTAACATCATCAGTGCTAGTAGAAAGTGGGGTTTGTGGAGGAGAGGAGGAGGAGGAGAGAATTGTGTGGGGTTCTTGGTTCTCTCTGAGCTTGAGAGGAGGAAGACTAGAAGGAGGAGGACTGCGGAGTCCTTAGTGCTCTCTAAGTTGAGTTCTTTTCCTACAGACATTTCATGACCCAACTAGGTAACATGATCAGTGTTAGAAGGGAGTGGGTTACACTTGGTTGATGAAACGTCTGCAAGAAAACACCCAAGCTCAGAGAGCCCCAAATTTCCATTATACGTGTACCACAGTATTAGGAGCACATTTCATATATATATTTTTACTACCGTTATCTATTTACTGTCTGCCATATGCTAAATAAACAAATCAACTCCTCTGCGGAGCTGGATTTGAAATTTGGGGTCCGTTCTGGCCACTGAAGGGCCGAGCTGGGAATCTTCGAGCATGTGCAGAGGGCTTTCTAGAAGTCTCCAGCTCCGGGGTTTCAAGTGGACCCCCCACACACACACCTCTTTTGTGCCCTGTAAAAACGCTTGCTCAAATTCCCAAGTTTGTCATTCATGATAGAATAGAGCCTTGGTGGCGCAGCAGACTAAAGTGCTGTTAAATAGCACCAGCTGCCTGCAATGACTGCGAGTTCAAATCTCACCAGGCTCAAGGTTGACTCAGCCTTCCATCCTTTCGAGGTAGGTAAAATGAGGACCCGATTGTGGGGGCAATAAGCTGACTTTGTATAAAAAAGAACACCGCTTGGGGGGGGGGCGAAAGCCCTAACGCATTGTAAGCCGCCCTGAATCTCTTGAGAAGGGCGGCATATAAATCGAACCAACCAATCAATCAATAAAATAACAAGAGTTGGAAGGGACCTTGGAGGTCATCTAGTCCAACCCCCTGCTCACGCAGGAGACCTAGGGATTCGAACCGCCGAACTGCCGACCTTTCTGATAGATAAGCTCAGGGTCTTAGCCATTGAGCCACCTAGCCAGGGTTTTATTTTATTTTTATTTTTATTTTAAATTGATCCGTAAATCGGTTGTTTGATTGACGCTGCAAACGGTGTTGTAGCGACCCCTTTTGTCCTGTTTCCAAAATCCTAGTTTATTTTTCTTCTCCCAGTTCAGATGCATCAACCGTTGGTCAACGTCCGTGTCCATCACCCGCCGGACGCCTCCGTGAAGGTCCACCGGATCGACAGCCTCAGCTCAGAGGGGAGCGGGCCAGGCGGGGCCCACCATCTAATCCAGCACCCGGCTCCGAAACCGGCCTACACTCGTCCCCCGGCCCAGAAACCTCTGGGGCGCTGTTTTCAAGAGACACTGCCCAAGCAGTCGGTGAGCGGATGGCCGTTTTCAGGCTGTTTTTCTACTGTTTTCTGGCTGTTTTGGGGTTGTTTTTAGGCCATTTTTCCAGGCCATTTTCAGGTTGTTTTCAGGCTGTTTTTCAGCCATTTCCCGGCTGTTTTCCAGGCTGTTTTCAGGCCGTTTTTCGGCTGTTTTGGGGCCATTTTTGGGGCTGAAAAATGTCCTAAAAATGTCCAGAAAAGCCCAAAAATGGCCGTTTTCCAGCGGTCCAGCACCTGCAAAGACCAGCTGGCGAGCGCGCATGTGCACACCAGTAACCAAAAGAGCAGGTGGCAATGGCGAGCGTCCCCACAGAGCATGCCATAGGTTTGCCATCACGGGCCTAGATACTAATCTATAGAATACTTATTCAAGTCTCATGAATCAATATATTTCAAAACGTAACCAATAACTTATACGTCACTTCTTTAATTCCTCATACCTTACAAAACTGAATACGTATTTCCATGAGGAAAAACGTTTGTATTTCAGGGTTGAGGTGAGGGGTCCTTGGTGTTCTCTGAGCTTTTCTTGCAGACGTTTAATTACCCAACTAGGTAACATTGTCAGGGGTAGTAGGGAGTGGGGTTTGTGGAGAGGAGGAGGAGGAGGAGGAAAAGGACTGTGGGGTCCTTGATGAGCTTGGTGGTTTTCTTCCAGACATTTTATTACCCAGCTAGGTAACATCATCAGTGCTAGTAGAAAGTGGGGTTTGTGGAGGAGAGGAGGAGGAGGAGGAATTGTGTGGGGTTCTTGGTTCTCTCTGAGCTTGAGAGGAGGAAGACTAGAAGGAGGAGGACTGCGGAGTCCTTAGTGCTCTCTAAGTTGAGTTCTTTTCCTACAGACATTTCATGACCCAACTAGGTAACATGATCAGTGTTAGAAGGGAGTGGGGTTACACTTGGTTGATGAAACGTCTGCAAGAAAACACCCAAGCTCAGAGAGCCCCAAATTTCCATTATACGTGTACCACAGTATTAGGAGCACATTTCATATATATATTTTTACTACCGTTATCTATTTACTGTCTGCCATATGCTAAATAAACAAATCAACTCCTCTGCGGAGCTGGATTTGAAATTTGGGGTCCGTTCTGGCCACTGAAGGGCCGAGCTGGGAATCTTCGAGCATGTGCAGAGGGCTTTCTAGAAGTCTCCAGCTCCGGGGTTTCAAGTGGACCCCCCACACACACACCTCTTTTGTGCCCTGTAAAAACGCTTGCTCAAATTCCCAAGTTTGTCATTCATGATAGAATAGAGCCTTGGTGGCGCAGCAGACTAAAGTGCTGTTAAATAGCACCAGCTGCCTGCAATGACTGCGAGTTCAAATCTCACCAAGCTCAAGGTTGACTCAGCCTTCCATCCTTTCCAGGTAGGTAAAATGAGGACCCGGATTGTGGGGGCAATAAGGTGACTTTGTATAAAAAAGAACACCGCTTGGGGGGGGCGAAAGCCCTAACGCATTGTAAGCCGCCCTGAATCTCTGGAGAAGGGCATCATATAAATCGAACCACAATCAATCAATCAATCAATCAAATAACAGAGTTGGAAGGGACCTTGGAGGTCATCTAGTCCAACCCCCTGCTCACGCAGGAGACCTAGGGATTCGAACCGCCGAACTGCCGACCTTTCTGATAGATAAGCTCAGGGTCTTAGCCATTGAGCCACCTAGCCAGGGTTTTATTTTATTTTTATTTTTATTTTAAATTGATCCGTAAATCGGTTGTTTGATTGACACTGCAAACGGTGTTGTAGCGACCCCTTTTGTCCTGTTTCCAAAATCCTAGTTTATTTTTCTTCTCCCAGTTCAGATGCACCAACCGTTGGTCAACGTCCGTGTCCATCACCCGCCGGACGCCTCCGTGAAGGTCCACCGGATCGACAGCCTCAGCTCGGAGGGGAGCGGGCCAGGCGGGGCCCACCATCTAATCCAGCACCCGGCTCCGAAACCGGCCTACACTCGTCCTCCGGCCCAGAAACCTCTGGGCCGCTGTTTTCAAGAGACGCTGCCCAAGCAGTCGGTGAGCGGAACGGGGGCCAGCTATTTAACCTGTGTGAAATCAAGCCTCCATGCTCAAAAGCAGTGTATCTGAACCTCAAGGCCAAATAGCAAAGGAGGAAGCCCCTTAGTTTTTTTCAAGCTTGGCAACTTTAAGATGGCTGGACTTCAACTCTATCCATCTCAAAGCAAGCTGGCTGGGGGATTCTGGGAGTGCAAGTCCGTCCATCTTAAAGCATGCTGGCTGGGGGATTCTGGGAGTTGGAGTCCACTTATCTTAAAGCATGCTGGCTGGGGGATTCTGGGAGTGGAAGTCCACCCATCTCAAAGCAAGCTGGCTGGGGGATTCTAGGAGTTGGAGTCCACCTATCTTAAAGTTGTCAAGTATAGGGAAAAAAACACTGTTTTGACTGGATCACAGGATTAAATTTACTTTTATTCCCACTCAGCATTAAATTTCACATGTGCAAAGCAATGCACTAATCTCAAATGTTGTGTGGTTACCTCAGATACATGCACACACTTCAGGAACTAAACCATACATAGACTTCAGGGGATGGCGAGATTTACACAAAACTATGAAGAGAACGGCCTGGGACCTTCTAACAGACTTAACTCACAAAATTCCCAGTCCTGTTTTTAGCCTAATATGGCCTGTTGGTGCGCCAATGCAAAACAGATCCTCACTGAGGACTAGATGCTTAAAATGCAAGAACTGATTTGCTTTCTGTCACCAAACAGGCTGGAGAGAGTGAGGTTGGGGCAAGACTGGAGTGGGGTGGGAAAGTTTGGAGCTTGGTCTTTTCAGGAGAGAATTGGTGAATTTAGTCTTTTTTTAAAATATTTCTTCTCTCTTTCCCTTCCGGTGTGGACCGCAGTGTGGGAGCAACCCGCTTCCGGGTCTCACGAAGCAGGAAGATTGCTGTGGCAGCATCGGCACCTCCTGGGGCCAGACCAAGTGCCACAAATGCCCCCATCTGCAGTGTAAGCCTCCAGCCCTTCCCCTCCCCCTCTCCTGGTGCCCTTCGGGGACCTCGCACCACCCAGCGATCCCCAGCGCAGGTTGCCCCGAATTCTGTGGGTGTACTCAGGGGTGGGCTTCAAAAATTTTAGCAAGGGGTTCTCTGTCCAGTTGCTGGGTGGGCTTGGCCATGGTGGGCGTGGCCTAGTCGGCCTCCTGCACCACGGCGGGTGTGTGTATGTTTTTGCCCTGCCTGGGCTCCGGAGGCTTTCTTCGAGCCTCCGGGAGGGCGAAAACGGCCTCCCCAGGCTCCGGAGGCCCTTCCTGAACTTCCGGTAGGCCTGTTTTTCACGCTCCCCGAGCCTCCATATGCTCCTTGCACTTACTTGCATCCCAAACCTGCTGGGAAGGGTGGGGTGGGGTGAGCGGGGCCGGGCCGGGCCAGCCAGGAGTGGGATTTGGGGGTTCTCCGAACTGCACAGAATCTTAACTAGAGGTTCTTCTGAACCCCTGCGAACCCCCAACAGCCCACCCCTGGGTGCACTCCTTGCTTGAAAAATGAAATTAATGAATGGGATTGGATTGGATTGGATTGGATTGGATTGGATTGGATTGGATTGGATTGGATTGGATTGGATTGGATTGGATTGGATACTTTGGCCAAGTGTGAGAGACTTGGCTAAGGCACTCCCCCCAATTTGTGCACGGCTTGTCCTGGGGCCCCCGTGGTCTCCCCCACCTCCCCGAGAGACCCTACATTCTTTAGCTTAGCTTACCACGCTGCCTCTCCACTCTGCTTGGCTTTTAGCAGGGATGATTTTTAGCCCCTGAGCGAGGGAGACCTGTCCACAGCACCCACCCACCCCAAACTCACATGGGGCCTGCTCCAGGCCTTTCAGGGTCTCTCAAACCCCCTCTGAGACACCCCACCCTCCTTACTTTGTGCCTTGGTCCAACCTGCAGGATCGTTTTAACGACTGTAACCAGGAGTACCGGGATTGCGGTCATTGAGCCAAGCCGTCATGTGACATCGTGCTTAACGATCGCTTTGCTCAATGACCAAGATTCCGGTCTCAATTGTGGTCGTAAGTTGAGAAAATACATATTTATTTAGTTATTTATTTATTTATTTATTTATTTATTTATTTATTTATTTATTTATTTATTTATTTCAATTTCTATACCGCCCTACTCCCGAAGGACTCAGGGCGGTGCACAGCCAAACAATAAAACACATCCATACAAAATTTAAAAGTAGAATAAAATCAAATTAAATAATTTTGGCTCCGACAAATTTAAAACCCCGAACTATTTAAAACCAATTTTAAAATTGAATGTATAAAATACTAAAAGATATTTAAAAATTAAAAATCTTTTATGAAAGAGGGAGAAAATTAGGCCAGGCCCGCCTGGTGAAATAATAAGGTCTTTAAAGCACGGCGGAAGGTGTGCAGATCCGGGATCCTCCGTATGTCTGGGGGGAGCTCGTTCCAGATATGGATTTAATTATCCATGTATTAACAGCAGCTAGAATTGCATTTGCACAATATTGGAAAAGTGAAGAGATTCCTACTGAAGAGAAGGGGATTAGGAAAATATTTGAATGTGCAGAAATGAATAGACTAACAGTAGCAATTAAGGAGAAAGAACAAACTGATTATTATATGATATGGGAAGCATTTTACCAACGGTTAGAGAATAAAAAAAGGAAATTGGAAATGAAGGAAGAAGACAACAAGAAGAATAGAAAATACATTAAGATAGATAAGAATAAAATGGCAACTCATCACATGAGTATGACGAGAATAATCATGTTTAATGTTATTATTGTATTTGGATTAGAAGGTACGTTATGAAGGAAATGAAGAGTTACACAAGGTATAATTGTTCAATATATGTAATTTGTGGAAGGATGTTGTACAGAAATATTTGCACCCAGACAACACACCACTTAAGGAGAGATGAAATGTTTATATTTTTTTAAAATGGAAAATACCGTATTTTTCGGAGTATAAGACGCACCTTTTTCGCCCCAAAAAGAAGGTGAAAATCTGGGTGCGTCTTATACTCCGAATGTAGCCCCACCCAGCTTCTCAAACTTCAGAGGCTGAAAAAAACATCAGAAACGAAGCTTCAGAAAAGAAGCCCCCAAACAGAGCTTCAGAAAAGAAGCCCCAAAACAGAGCTTCAGAAAAAAAGCCTCCAAACAGAGCTTCAGAAAAAAAGCTCCCAAACAGAGCTTCAGAGGCTTTTTTTTCCTGAAGCTCTGTTTCGGAGGCTTTCAGAGGCAGGAAAAAAAGTTTTTTTCTGAAACAGAGTTTCAGAAGTTTCAGAGGCAGAAAAAAAAATAGCAGGGCACAGAGCTCACAACCAAGGAACCTGTTGCTAAAATTCACCTCTGGGAACAGCTGATTGGGGGTATTCCGGGAGGCCGATCCACCTGCCAATCAGCTTTTTTCTTATTTTCCTCCCCAAAAACTAAGGTGCGTTTTATACTCCGGTGCATCTTATACTCTGAAAAATACGGTAAATAAAAAAAAAAACTATAAAAGAAAAAGAAAATTACCTGCCCAGCTGAGCTACCTGTTAACAAGAATTGTGTACATTAAAGCGTATTCTGCAATAATGTCTTCATGCAGTGTAAGTCTGTTGTTTCCAAAGTCGGCTGAAACAAGATCCATGAACTGTGTAATGTTTTTTCTTTTTAAATTTAGGAGTTTGAAGAGAAACTGGTAAAGGAATGTGGAAGACTTAAACGCTCGCTGTGTACTCTTTTTTTTCCAGATCTGGGTGTGCAAAAGACGATGGGGAGCGATTGTCCACAGGGATACAAGCGACTCAACAGCACTCACTGCCAGGGTAAGACTCCGCGATCACAGTGTGTATGTGTGTTCCACGCGAGTTTTGTGTTTGGAATTTGAATGTCGGTGAACTTGGAAATTAAAATCTGCTGTCACCGGTGCCCTTGCTTCCGATAGTTTTGACCTTGAGTTCGAGTCCTGCATTCAGCTCTCCCTTTCTACTGGGGTGTGTGGCGCATGGGACTTGAGGTGGTCTCTGCATGGGGGATGAGTAACCCAGAGCGGTCTCAGGAGCAACTCCTTCTATCTTCTAAGTTTTGTTTTATAAAAATGTCAAATCAATGCACCTGGACGCCATACATTCTAGTACAAATGAAATTGATCAAATTAAACATTATTATTACATTCAATCAACTTACGTATTTCTAATAACAATACACATCTTTATTAGGTTAGAGCAGGGGTGAGATCCAGCAAGTTCTGATAGGTTCTGGAGAACTGGTAGTAGAAATTTTGAGCAGTTCGGAGAACCGGTAGCGGAAATTTTGAGTAGTTCGGAGAACCAGCAAATACCACCTCTGGCTGGCCCCAGATTGGGGTGGGAATGGAGATTTTGCAATATCCTTCCCCCAAGAGTGGGGAGGGAATGGGGATTTTGCAATATCCTTCCCCCAAGAGTGGGGAGGGAATGGGGATTTTGCAGTATCCTTCCCCTGCCACGCCCACCAAGCCACACCATGCCCACCAAGCCACGCCCACAGAACCCGTAGTAAAAAAATTGGGATTTCACCACTGGGTTAGAGTCTATCATTATTCAGTTATTCTACCTATTTCTCATTATTACTTTCATATTATCAAATAGAAATGCATACACTAATATTCCCTTTATTTCTATCACTTATTCTAGCTTTCAATCATCTCGCCCTATATTAAAAAGCTTTTTCTTTCTTTCCTGTTTTAACTTCTGATCATGTCACCTGCCTAAAAAAAAGAGGGGGGGGAGAATAAAGAGGGAGAGAGAGAAAGACAATTCAGAGCAGCAACAGAAAAGTGGAATCATCCATCCATCATCTCTTGCCCGCTTTACACTTCAATTGCTATGCTTTAAAAGAGAGAGAGTGGAAAAAGGAAAGGCAAGTCAGAACAACAGTAAAGAAAAAAAGAGAAATCATCTATCCATCGTCTCTTGTCCGCTTCAATACTTCAGTTGCTATGCCTTTTTTTTTTTTTTTTTACTTGCCTCCCACATTCCTCTCTTAAGTCTCCATCTAGCTGTATTTTTTGGATGTCCAATCTAAGTCCTTCTGAATCTGGAGAATATTTGGAAATACAATGTTAGCAGAAAGAATACGACCAGACTGGAGTTTGAATTCCCGGGATCAGTCCTTCGATCCCATTCCCCATCGCACAAACTCAGAGAGCGGAAATCGCAAGAGCTACAGTGATTAAGTGTTATTTTTGGCCTTCGTTTCCCCCCACAGACATCAATGAGTGTGCCATGCAAGGCGTGTGCCAAGGAGGAGAGTGTTTGAACACCCAAGGAAGCTTCCGCTGCGCATGTAAACCGGGACATGTTTTGGGACCTTCACGCACTCACTGTGTCCGTATGTATCTCAACAGGTTCTGTCTCTCTGTCTCTCTCTGTCTTCCTTTCCCTTTCTTTCTTTCTTTCTCTCTCTGTCTCTGTCTCTCTCTGTGTGTCTGTCTTCCTTTCCCTTTCTTTCTTTCTTTCTGTCTCTCTCTTTTCTCTCTGTCTCTGTCTCTGTCTCTTTCTTTTTCTACCTCTATCTCTCTCTCTGTCTTCCTTTCCCTTTCTTTCTCTGTCTCTCTCTTTTCTCTGTCTCTCTCTTTCTTTTTCTACCTCTACCTCTCTGTGTGTGTATGTATGTATGTGCCTGTCTTTCTTTCCCTTTCTTTCTTTTTGTCTCTCTCTCTCTCTGTCTCTCTCTTTCTTTTTCTACCTCTACCTCTCTCTATGTCTGTCTGTCTGTCTTTCTTTCTTTCTTTCTTTCTTTCTCTTTCTCTTTCTCTTTCTCTCTCTCTCTCTCTCTCTTCCTCCTCCTCCTTTTTCTTCTTCTACCCCCCTCTCTCATCACGTGGAATAATGCATCCAGTTCTGGTCACCATGACATTAAAAAAATGGAAAAGAAGGATTAGGGGTGATGTGATAGCGGTCTTCCTATACTTGAGGGGCTGTCACGAAGATGAGGGGGACAACCTAGAATTAAGGAAAAATTTCCTGAATAGTTTGTCAGTGATTGAATAACAAGTTTTGAAGGCAAGCTATTTCACTGGTTTATTGTTGTCACTGTCAAGAAATTTCTCCTTAGTTCTAGGTTGCTTCTCTCCTTGATTAGTTTCCATCTGTTGCTTCTTGTCCTGCCCTCAGGGGCTTTGGAGAATAGGTTGATTCCCACTCTTCTTTGGGGCAGCCCCTGAGATATTGGAAGGCTGCTATCATGTCTCCCCTACTCCTTCTTTTCTCTAGACTAGACATGCCCAATTCCTGCAGCCGTTCTTTATAAGTTTTAGCCTCCAGTCCCCTAATCGTCTTGGTTGCTCTTCTCTGCACTCTTTCCAGAGTCTCCACATCTCCACCGATGGCCAGCTGATTTTCGGGTGCCTGGCGCAGGGGTGGGGCGCATGCGGGAGACGCCCCCCTCCCTGTGGCCCGTTTTTGGTCCCAGGAGGCTTCGGGGAGGCTTACTAAGCCCAAAAGGGCTGCAGGAGGTCGCACGTACATGCGCGAGGAGTGGGAGAGCGCTGAGCGGATCGCGCGCACATGCACCGGGGGTGGGGTCGGGGGAGCTCAGGGGGTCCTAATCTGTACCTGTACATTTTGTTTTTCTTGCCTAAATGTAAGGCTTTTCATTTCTCTCCATTGAATTTCATTTTGTTAGATAGGGCCCAGTGTTTAAGTCCTGTCAAAAGCCTTCTGTAACTTGAGCCTATTTTCTGGAGTGTTGGCTATTCCTGCCAGCTTGGTGTCGTCGGAAAACTTGATGAGTTCCCCTTCTATTCCATACTCCGGCGAAGCTGCGACAGAGCTCCGCAAGCTGGCAATGGATAATTATTGTATATTGCTACACAAATTATAACTCATTATAAATGGCCTGAAATTGGGATAATAGCAGCAAAAAAAAAAAAGAACCTCAGATTTGGTGGCCTTGATTTAACACAGGTGTCTCAGTCTTACAACACACAACCCTTGTCACAATTGCGTTGTTGCGCTTTGGGAAAGCAGGGGGGCAGCCAAGGGGTGGGATTCAGGGCGAACCGATTGTTAATTTTAATCTGGTTCGCCGAACCGGTTGTTCCAAGGACTGGTTGACCCTGCCCACCCCTCCCTTCCCAGGAGTCTCCACACGGCCGATTTTGGATGCCAGGTAAGTGCAAGGCGTGCGCAAAGGCTCTGGGAGGGCGGAAAATGGGCCTACTGAAGTCTGGAAACGGGCCTGTTTCTGGCCTCCGGAGGGCCTCTAGAGCCTGGGGAGGCCATTTTTGCCCTCCTGGAGGCTCAAGAAAAGCCTCCAGAGCCTGGGGAGGGCGAAAACATGCCCCACCCACTGTGGTGCAGGAGGCCAATTAGACCACACCCACCCAGGCAGCGAACCAGTTGCTGAAATTTTTCAACCCTACCCCTGGGGCAGCCCCTCTTTTTCCTGTTTACTTCTGCCTCCTCTGATGTCCCTCTCTGTCTCTCTTTTTTGGGGACGGCAGCAGAGAAAGCTGGGGAGAGGAGTCTGTGTTTCCGGCTGGTGAGTCCCGAGCAACAGTGCCAACATCCGCTGTCCACCAAGCTGACCCGCCAGACGTGCTGCTGCAGTGTGGGCAAAGCCTGGGGCGTCCATTGCGAGCGATGTCCGGCCGACGGAACGGGTGAGTCGAAGGGCAGATGGGGGAAGGACAGAAATGGCCATTGTCGGCTTCCTCAAACTCATCCGCTCGGATCTTGCTTCTCTGTCCTGTTTGTGGCTCGGACCTCCCTCTCCGTGTTCCTGCTGTCCTCGCTCGGTATTGTCTTTTGAACTATTTCTCTTGCTTGGAATGGGCTACAGGTAGTCCTCGACTTATAACAGTTCATTTAGGGACCATTCAAAGTTACAGGCACTGGAAAAAGTGACTGTTAGTGGCTGTTTTTCACACTTACAGCACTTATGAGCACACTTGGTGGCATCCTTATGATCCTGTGATCAAAATTCAGATGTCTGGCCACTGGTTCGTACTTATGACTGTTCCTGTGTCCTCAGGTTATGAGATCACCTTTTGCAACCTTCCGAGGTCGGTAAAATGAGGACCCAGATTGTTGGGGGCAATAGGCTGACTCTGTAAAGCATTGTGAAGCGGTATATAAGTGCTATTGCTATTTTCCTTCCTTCCTTCCTTCCTTCCCTCCCTCCTTCGTTCATTCGTTCCTACTATTTTTTTTTTTTAATTTGATTTATATGCCGCCCTTCTCCGGAGACTCAGGGCGGCTTACAATGCGTTAAGCAATAGCCTTCATCCTTTTGTATATTTATACAAAGTCAGCTTATTGCCCCCACAAACTGGGTCCTCAATTTACCTACCTTAGAAAGGATGGAAGGCTGAGTCAACCTTGAGCCTTGGCGAGATTCGAACCTGCAGTAATTGCAGGCAGCTGGTCTTAATAACCAGCTTAATAACAGGGTGCCTTAGACCACTGTACTACCAAGGCTCTCTATGGTGGCGCACTGGTTAGAACGCAGTATTGCAAGCAAATTCTGCCCACAGTCAGAAGTTCTTTCCATCCCTCACTCTCCCTCCCTGCTTTTCCTTCCTTCCCTTTTTGTCTTCTTCCTTTGTTCCTGCCTTTATTTTCTCTCTTTCCCTCCCTCCCTCCCTCCTTTCCTTCTTTGTGGTTAGAACTCAGAATTGCAAGCAAACTCTGGTCACAGTCAGGAGTTCGATCCTGACTGATTCAAGGTTGACTCAGCCTTCTGTCCTTCCGAGGTGGGTAAAATGAGGACCCGGATTGTCGGGGGCAAGAAACTGACCCTGTAAACCGCTTAGAGAGGGCTGTAAAACACTGTGAAGCAGTATATAAGTCTAAATTGCTACTCTTATATCCCTGTTTTGCCATATTGTCCTGGACATCGTCTCTTCCGTTTCCCATTTTCCAAAGCATCTCCCGTTTTTCCTTTCTCCTTCCTCTCGTTCTCCGCTCCTCCGTCCATTGCTTCACCACGCAAATCTTACCTGTAGGCTGACGGGCGTCTGACTGTCTCGTTTTTCCTCTCCCGGTTGAATAGTGGCGTTCCGAGAAATCTGCCCTGCGGGGAGAGGCTACCACATCCAAACCTTGCACCAAACTCTGACCATCCAAGGAGAGAGTGATTTCCTACTCCATATCCACCCGGATGCTACTAGCGACTTGCCACAACTGCGGCCGGAGCCCCCCACCCCTCCCGTCATGGACAGCGATTCCCAGGAAGCAGAAGGTTGGTTCACTCGCGCGGGAAGGTGAAGGGAGGGTCGGGGGCGCCTTCTCAAAATGGCTGCCTTGGCAGGGATGGCTGGTGCAATACAGGTAGTCCTCGGCTTACAGCAGTCCATTGAGTGACCGTTCGAAGTTACGACAACACTAAGAAAAGAGACTCGTGTCCATTTTTAACATTTATAATTTGCCGCATCCCCGTGGCTGCATAATCAAAATTCAAATGCTTGGCAACCGATTCATATTTATGACGGGTTGAAATGTCCCTGGGGTCACGTGATTCCCCCTTTTGTGACCTTCTGGCAAGCAAAGTCAATGGATTCATTCACTTAACAACTGTGTTGCTAACTTAGAGATTCACTTAACAGCTGTGGCAAGAAAGGTCGTAAAATGGGGTCAAAACTCACTTAGCAACTGTTTCCCTCAGCCACATCAATTTTGGGACTCAATGGTGGCCATAACTCGAGGACTACCTGTATTTTCCCCCTACAAATATTTTTCCTTTTTCTATTTTGTGTTTCTGTATTCTGCTTTTCTGCCAAATTTCGTTCCCTGATCCTTAATCTTGGCTACCCCAAACCAGGCATTGGTTCCATGGTTGGTTGTGATTTTAAAGTCAATTGACTTTTTCTGACTACTCCAATCTCAACTCAGCTGTAACAACAACGGTGTAAAAAGGGCCCTTTTTGCCTTTCATCTCTGCCACGTTTGCCCTTCAACAGTATGAGGCCTAGAAACTTGGCTTTTCTTTTTTTGCAAAGCAAACCCTCCCAGATAAGGAAAAAAAAAAAACTAAAGCTGAGATTTGAGACTTCTTTTCTTTCATTTGGATTAAAATTATAACTGGACCACGTCAAGATATTTTGGTTTCTGCCAAAAGGACGGATTTGAAAGCTGTTTTATAGGTTTGCAGTTTGTTATTTCACTTGGTTTACTGCCAAGCACCAAAAATCTAGTGATTTACTGCAGTCTTAAAGAAGAAAGAACATTTCTGGACATGCAGACATGTGTGTGTTTTTAAGATGCAGAGGAGTTATTTCTTTTTTTTAAAAAAAAATCACATTCTTGGACTTTATGATTGAAGAGGTGTGCTGTATGTGGAAAAACAAACAAACAAGTTTCTAGTCCCTGGAACTCCAGGAATGCCGCTTCATTTGCAATCTCTCCAGCCAGAGAGGCAGCCCGTAAAAATAATATTTTGCTTAGCGTTTTTTTTTATAAGCTTTTTGAAAAAGGTCACAATGGAACTGGATTGGAAGTTGGTTGTTATGGATATAGGAAAAAAAAAAGAAGGAAGGAAAGGAAAGGAAGGAAGGAAAGGAAGGAAGGAAGGAGGAGAGAAGGAAGGAGGAATGAAGGAACGAAGAAGGAAGGGAAGGAAGGAAGAAAAGGGAAAGAAGGAGGAAGGGAGGGAAGGGAAGGAAGAGAGGAAGGAAGGAGGAAGCGAACAAAGGAAAGGAAGGAAGGAAGGAGGAAAGGAAGGAAGAAGGGAGGAGGAAGGGAAGGAAAGGAAGGAAGGAAAGGAAGGAGAAAGGAAGGAAAGGAAGGAAGGAGAAAAAGGGAGGGAGGGAAGGAAAGGAAGGGAGGGAGGAAGGAAGGAATGTAATTTCAGTCATGGAAGAAAGCTAATTAAGGAGAAAACCATGCTAGAAATAAGGAGGGATTTCCTGACCATGAGAACAACAGCAGGTAGTCCTCGACTTACAACAGTTTTTTAGTGACTGCTCGAAGTTACAGCAACACTGAAACGTGTGATTTATGACCGTTTTTCACACTTAGGATCGTTACAGCATCTCCATGTTCACGTGATGAAAATTGAGATATTTATGACGTTTGCAGTGTCCCGGGGGCCACGCCATCCCCTTTTGCGACTGTCTGACGAGCAAAGTCGATGGGGAAGCCTGATTCACTTAACAACCATGTACCTAATGGGAGAATGGCAGTGATTCACTTAACAGCCGTGGCAAGGAAGGTCATCGAATGGATCAAAATTCACTGCATGGCCCATTTCCCGACTTCCGGTGGACCCAGAAAGCCTGTTTTTTTTGCCCTCCCCAGGCTCCAGAGGCTTTCTAGGAGCCTGGGGAGGGTGAAAACTTATCTTCCCCACCTCCGGAGGCCAGAAACAGCTCATTTCCTGATTTCCGGTGGGCCCGGAAGGGCCGAAAATCAGGTGGCTGGCGCGTGCATGCGTGCTAGGGCAACGCTCACGTGCCCACAGATATGGCTCCGTGTGCCACCTGTGGCACGCGTGCTGTAGGTTCGCCATCACGGGTATAGAGTTTCCTGCCTGATCGGGGTTGGACTAGAAGACCTCCAAGGTCCCTTCCAACTCTGTGATTCTGTTACTCCTAATTGTTTAAATCACGGTGTACGTTCACACAGGCATTACATTCTCATCTAAAAGCTCTAATCCTCATCCTATCTCTTCGTTTATGTTTTGCAGCTGTGACTCCAGCGACGGTAAGTGTGAGACCCACCGAAGAACCGTGGAAGAGGTGTGGGGAAAAAAAAAACAACCTGTGAAAAAAATAAATGAATGGCCCTCTTCAAATATAACGCCATCTCAGATAGTTGTTGATTGGAACCAGAGCCACCAGGAGATGATAGGAGGGGGGGTCTCCAGTGGTCATTTGAATGCTTTTCAACCTATTCTCCAAAGCACCTGAAGTCCAGACAAGAAGCGATGGGTGGAAACTAATCAAGGATTGAAGCAACCTAGAACTAAGGAGAAATTTCCTGACAGTGAGGACAATTAACCAGTGGAACAGCCTGCCACCAGAAGTTGTGAATGCTCCATCACTGGAGGCTTTCCAGAAGAGATTGGACAACCATTTGTGTGAAATGGTATAGGGCCGTGGTGGGAAACCACAGGTGCCACGCAGATCCCTCTCTGTGGACACATTAGCTGTTGCCCCAGCTCAGCTTCACCGCGCATGCCCGTGTGACTCCCGCCGCCCAGTTGATTTTCGGGTCTCTGTCAGACATGGGGGGGGGCATGTGGGAGATGTGCGCTCATGAGCGGGGCCGGAGAGAGCGCCGGGGGGGGGGTGTCATGCCCGGATTGCTTTATGGGTTATAAGTGCAGCGAGGCCTACTAGGCCCAAAATGGAGCACGGGGGAGGGGTGCGTGTAGCCCCCTCGTGGCCTATTTTTTCCTCCCAGGAGGGTTCAGGGAGGCCTCCTAGGCCCAAAATGGGGTGGGGGGGGTCGCACGCACATTACATCATGGGTACGGGCGTGCTGTCATATGCGCACACAACAACAAAAAGGTTAGCCATCATTGGTATAGGGTCTCCAATAGGGGTTCGACTAGAAGACCTCCGAGGTCCCTTCAAACTCTGTTATTCTGTTCTTTTTTTTTTTCCCCAAAAGGAAAGATTTTGGGCATAATCTCCTCTATTTACATGGATAGAATAGAATGGAATGGAATGGAATGGAATAGAATAGAATAGAATAGAATAGAATAGAATAGAATAGAATAGAATAGAATAGAATAGAATAGAATAGAATAGAATAGAATAGAATTCTTTATTGGCCAAGTGTGATTGGATGCACAAGGAATTTGTCTTTGGTGCACACGCTCTCAGTGTACATAAAAGAAAAGATACATTCATCAAGAATCATAAGGTACAACACTTAATTATAGTCATAGGTTACAAATAAGCAATTAGGAAAGAATATAAATATAAGTCTAAGGATACCAGCAACAAGGTTGCCAGTCATGCAGTCATAAGTGGGAGGAGATGGGTGATAGGGATGATGAGAAGATTAATAGTAGTGCAGACTTAGTGAATAGTTTGAGAGTGTTGAGGGAATTATTTGTTTAGCAGAGGGATGGCTTTTGGGGAAAAAACTGTCCTTGTGTCTGGCTGTTCTGGTGTGCAGTGCTCTATAGCGTCGTTTTGAGGGTAGGAGTTGAAAGAGTTGATGTCCAGGATGCGAGGGGTCTGTAGATATTTTCCCAGCCCTCTTTTTGACTCGTGCAGTATACAGGTCCTCCATGGAAGGCAGTTTGGTAGCCATGGTTTTTTCTGCAGTTCTAATGATCCTCTGAAGTCTCTGTCTGTCTTGGTGGGTTGCAGAGCCAAACCAGACAGTTATGGAGGTGCAGATGACAGACTCAATCATTCCTTTGTAGAACTGGATCAGCAGCTCTTTGGGCAGTTTGAGCTTCCTGAGTTGGAGCAGAGACGTTTTTGACGTTGGGTGTCCATTTTAGGTCTTGCGATATGGTAGAACCAAGAAATTTTAAAGGTCTCTTAACTGTTGATACTGTGTTGTCTAGTATTGTGAGAGATGGAAGTACGGAAGGATTTCTCCTAAAGTCCACCACCATTTCTACGGTTTTGAGTGTGTTCAGTTCCAGATTGTTCCAGTCACACCACGAGGCTAGTCGTTCAACCTCCCGTCTGTTTGTGGATTCATCATTGTCTCGAATGAGTCCGATCACTGTTGTGCCATCTGCGAACTTCAGTAGTTTAACAGATGGATCATTAGAGATGCAGTCATTGGTATACAGAGAGAAGAGAAGTGGGGAGAGCACGCAGCCTTGGGGGACCCCTGTGCTAATTGAATGACAAGGTTGCAAATCCCAGGGTTAAGCGATCCCCACTTTCCGACAAGCAAAACTCCACGGAGAAAACCAGATTCACTGAACAAACCTTTTTACTAACTTAGCCACTGCAGGGATTCACTTAACAACCCGTGGCAAGAAAGGTCGTAAAGTGGGGCAAAGCTCCCTTAACAAATGTGTCTCACTTAATGACAGAAATTTGGGGCTGAATTTCGGTTGTAAATTGAGGACTACCTGTATTTATGACGGTTGCCGTATCTCCTGACCAGCAAAGTCAGTGGGTAATTCACTTCACAAATGGGCAAATAACTTAACAACGGCCATGATTCACTTAACAGCGGTGTCGAGGAAGGTCTTAAAATGAGACAAAACTCAATGTCTCGTTTAGCACATAGATTTCGGGCTCAATCGGGGCCCTAAGCCATGTATCTTGTCTTCCTGTTCATTGCCTTCTTCTCTTTCCTTCTCAACCTCTCCAGTTGCCCAGAGAAACGACGGTTTCAGAAGAGCAGGGAGTATTTTTCGGCAACACCCCAACTTTGGGTCCTCGGTACCCCGGTGAGTGAGTGAAAAACATTTCTCTGTACTGTTTCCCCCAGCCTCGTTTGAGGGCATTTTCAATGGTTGCAGGAACTGGGCCTGGCTAGTCTAGTGAAGAGAAGGACCAGGGGAGACAGGATAGAATCTTCCAATATTTGAGGGGCTGCCCCAGAGAGGAGGGAGTCAAGCTATTTTCCAAGGCACCTGAAGGCCAGACAAGGAAGAATGGATGGAAACTGATCAAGGAGAGATTCCACCTGGAAATAAGGAGAAACTTTCTGACAGTGAGAACCATCAACTCATGGAACAGAAGTTGCCTTCGGAAGTTGTGGGAGCTTTATCACTGGAGGCTTTCAAGAAGAGACTGGACTGCCCATCTGTCAGAAATGGTGTAGGGTCTCCTGCTTGGGCTGTGGGGTTGTACTAGATGACCTCCAAGGTCCCTTGCAACTCTGTTCATCTGTTAAAGTGAACTTTATAATGCCTTGCTAAGACCCCAGTTGGAATAGGACATCCAGTTTTGGTCACCACACTATAAAAAGGATGTGGAGACTCGAGAAAGAGTGCAGAGAAGAGCAAGCAGGATGATTAGGGGACTGGAGACTAAAATATACAATGAACAGATGCAGGAACTGGACGTGGCTACTCTAGTGAAGAGAAGGACCAGGGGAGACAGGATAGCAGTTTATCCAATATTTGAGCGGCTGCCCCAGAGTGGAGGAAGGGAGCCAAGCTATTTTCCAAAACACCTGAAGGCCAGACAAGGAATAATGGATGGAAACTGATCAAGGAGAGATTCAACCTGAAAATAAGAAGGAATTTTTTGACGGTGAGAGCAATCAACCCATGGAGCAGAAGTTGCCTTCGGAAGTTGTGGGAGCTTCATCCCTGGAGGCTTTCAAGAAGAGACTGGACTGCAATTTGTCAGAAATGATGTAGGGTCTCCTGCTAGGGTGGGTGGGGGGTTGGACTAGATGACCTCCAAGGTCCCTTGCAACTCTGTTCATCTATTAATCTTTGCAGTGGTGATCACGAAGCCCACCGTCGCGGTCGTGGTGAAGTACCCCGAAGAGGAACGAATGGATGAATTTTACATGCCCCCAACTCAAGAGACAGGTAAGCACCATAGTCCCAGATCATTGTTTCCCCTGTCTTCTTTTTCTGAAAAGAATTTTTTTTAAAAAAAAAAAATACAGGTAGTCCTTGACTTACAACCATTCATTTAGTGACTTCGAAGTTACAACGGCACTGAAAAAAGTGACTTGTGACCATTTTTCACACTTATGACCATTTCACATGATTTATATTCGGATGCTTGACAGCTGACTCATAGTTATGACGGTTGCAGCATCCCGGGCTCACCCAATCCTCTTTTGCAACCTTCTGACAAGCAATATAAGTCAGTGGAGAAACCAGGCTCATACTACCATATGTGTGTCCACGTATGTGCAGAAGCCAAAAGATACTGGAGTAAAATCCACAGATGGTTGGAAAAAATGATTAAAAAACCACATAGATTTTAACCAGAGATTTTTTTTTTAATTTGATTTATATGCCGCCCTTCTCCGGAGACTCAGGGCGGCTTACAGTGCGTTAAGCAATAGCCTTCACACTTTTGTATATTTATACAAAGTCAGCTTATTGCCCCCACAAACTGGGTCCTCAATTTACCTACCTTAGAAAGGATGGAAGGCTGAGTCAACCTTGAGCCTGGCGAGATTCGAACCTGCAGTAATTGCAGGCAGCTGGTCTTAATAACAGGGTGCTTTAGACCACTGTACTACCAAGGCTTATTGGGGATTGTACCTGAAATATATAATAAGAGAATTGAGATATCTGATTGTGAATGTATTAACAGCAGCTAGAATTGTGTTTGCTAAAAATTGGAAAAATGAGAAAATACCAACGCAAGATGAAGTTATTAAGAAAATCATGGAATGTGCTGAAATGAGCAAATTGACATTTGAAATTAGAGAACAAGAAGATAAACAATATTGTAAGATATGGGACTTATTTTATCAATGGTTAGATAAAAAAATATGGAAATGAAAGAAGATAGAGATTTTTATAATATAAGAATTGTAGAACTATATAAAATACGACATAAAGATGTATTATTATTATTGGATCGATTTAGGGTGATGAAATGAATGTTATAATATAAATTAACTCAAATCGTAGAATATTTTGTATAAAATGAGGGAAGAATAGTTATAGTCAAATAAATGATTAATGAGGATAATAATACATAGATATATATTAGATTGATAATATAAGAATTTAGGTAAACTGTAAGCTATGAATCTGGTGAAAATGCACAAAAGACTAGTAACCAACAGACAAACTGTGTGTAATTGAAGATGGTTTTATGTTTTTATGTATGTTTGTTTAAAAATAAAAAAAATTCTGGGAAAAAAAAAGTCAGTGGAGAAACCAGATTCATTTAACGACCCCGTGGCTAATTTAAGGACGGCAGGGATTCGCTTAACAAATGTGTCGAAACTCGCCAAACAGATTTCTCGCTTAACCACCGTGACGTACCACATTGATCGTTGTGACTGCAAGGCTGCAGCCACGGTTGTAAGCGCGAGGAAAAGTTGCAAGCCGCTTTTTTTTTCCCCAGCCCCGTCGTAACGTGCAACGGTCGTTAAAGCGAGTCGAGAACGATCTGTGTGTAGGTTTCTTCTCGTTTGGCACTTCGGGGCTGGATTTGAAGGCTCGGCGTTGAGTTGTTCAATCGATGGAACGATTTGTGGCTGTGTCCGTTGATTTTTTTCTCTCTCCTCCCCACCCCATGCAGAGGTGGACATTTGCAAGTTGAACCGTAACATCTGTAGCCACGGTGAGTGCATCCCGACCAGATCCGGATTCACCTGCCAGTGTTACCAAGGTTATCGGTGGCATCCTCAGCACAGGTATTGCGTAGGTAAGAGGCAGCTTCCTTCAAACGTTTGGGCTTGAGCAGGAGGTTCAATCAGAATAGATCTGGAGGGGACCTTGGAGGTCTTCTAGTCCAACCCCCTGCTCAAGCAGGAGACCCTATACCAGTGATGGCTAACCTTTTTGCTATCACGTGCCAGGAGTGGGGGGAGGAGTTGTGCCCACATCCATAATTCTATGTGCCCTCCCCCCCACGCTCCCCACGCTCCTGGCACACGATGGCACGGTAGGCCTGTTTTTTGCTCTCTCCAGCCCCCAGAGCCTTTCTAGGAGTCTGGGGAGGGCGAAAACGGCCCCCCGCCCCCCCTGGAGGCCAAAAACAGCCCGTTTGCCAATTTCCAGTGGGACCAGAAGGCCCATTTTTGCTTTTCCCCAAACCTCCAGAGCCTTTCTAGGAATCTGGGGAGGGCAAAAATGGCCTCCCCTCCCCCGGAGGCCGGAAACGGCCCATTTGCCAACTTCTGCTCCGTTTCTGGCCTCCTGAGGGTCTCTGGGGGATGGGGAAGGCCATTTTCGCCCTCCCCAGACTCCTAGAAAGGCTCTGGAGGCTGGGGAGAGAGACCAGTACGCTCCCATAGAGAGGGGCTTCTCAGGGTGCCGTCGGTCAAACTGTGTCGACTGGCAGCCCCCAGGGGGAGAGCCTTCTCTGTGGGGGCACCTGCCATCTGGAACGAGCTCCCCCCGGAGATACGGAGGATCCCGGATCTGCGCACTTTCCACCATGCCCTCAAAACATTCCTATTCCAGCAGGCTGGTCTGGCCTAACTTCCCTTTTAAATTGCTATTTTTAAATTTGTCTGATAAATTGGGGTGTTTTAAATTTGTTTTGGGCCAAAGTATTTAATGTATTTTAAATGGTTTTTAACGTTTGTACTATGTGTATTTTTTCTTTTGGCTGTTCACCGCCCTGAGTCCTTCGGGAGTAGGGCGGTATATAAATTTAATTAATAATAATAATAATAATAAATAATAATAATAATAATAATAATAAATAATAATAATAATAATAATAATAATAATAATAATAATAATAATAATAATAATAATAATAATAATAATAATAATAATAATAATAATGGGCCTTCCCCACCACCACCCCCGAGATCCTCCGGAGGCAGGAAACAGCCTGTTTCCCTACTTCTGGTGGGCCCAGAAGGCCCGAAAATCAGCTGGCCGGCGCGCACATGCATGCCAGAGCTGAGCTCGCATCCCCACCGATATGGCTATCGGTTCGCCATCACGGCCCTATACCATTTCAATCAACCAACCAACCAATCAATCAATCAGAATAGAGCTGGAAGGGACCTTGGAGGTCAACTAGTCCAACCCCTGCTCAAGAAGGAGAGCCTATGCCATTCCAGACAGGTGACTGTCCCGTCTTTTCTTAAAAATTTCCAGTAATGGAGCACCCATAACTTCTGGAGGCAAGCAGTTCCACTGGTTAATTGTTCTCACTGTTAGGAAGCTTCTGCTTAATTCCAGGTTTCTTTGATTAGTTTCCAACATTTTGTTTCTTGTCCTGCCTTCTGGTGCTTTGGAGAATAGCTTGACTCCCTCCTCTTTGTGGTGGCCCCTCAAACATTGGGAGGCTGCTATCATGTCACCCCTAATTCTTCTTTTCTTTAGACTAGCCAAACCCAAATCCTGCAGCCATCCTTCCTATGTTTTAGTCTCCAGGCCTTTTGATCCTCTTAGTTGCTCTTCTCTGCACTTTTATCCAAAGCCTCGACGTCTTTTTTTGTAACGTAAGGTTGGACTAGAAGATTTCCAAGACTTCCCTTCCAATTCATTCTGTTATTCTGAAGAACAACAGAACTGAACCGAAGAAGCTCCTGAGATAAGAAGCAAAACATTTTCAATGGAAAAAGAAACTTTGTGATTCCTGCCCTTTCTGCTCCCCAGATGTAAACGAGTGTGAACTGGAGCTGTGCGGTAACGGCAAAGGTGTCTGCATGAACACTGGCGGGTCGTACAATTGCCACTGCAACCGAGGCTACCAGCTGAAAGTACAGAAGGGGGTCAGATCCTGCACAGGTAAGACTTGGATGGGTGGATGGATGGATGGGTGGGTGGGTGGATGGAAGGAAGGAAGGAAGGAAGGAAGGAAGGAAGGAAGGAAGGAAGGAAAGGAAGGAAGAAGGAAGGAAGGAAGGAAGGAAGAAGATGGATGGATGGAAGGAAGGAAGGAAGGAAGGAAGGAACGATGGATGAATTCATGGATGGATGGAAGAAAGGAAGGAAGGAAGGAACGATGGATGGATGAATTGATAGATGGATGGATGGAAGGAAGGAAGGAACGATGGATGGATGAATTGATGGATGGATGAAAGGAAGGAAGGAAGGAACGATGGATGGATGAATTGATGGAGGAAGGAAGGATGGATGGAAGGAACGATGAATGGATGAATTGATAGATGGAAGGAAGGATGGATGGAAGGGTTGGTAGGTGGGTGGGTAAATGGAAGGATGGAAGGATGGATGGGTGGGTGGGTAGATGGATGGATGGATGGATGGATGGATGGATGGAAGGAAGGAAGGAAGGAAGGAAGGAAGAAACGATGGATGAATTGATGGATGGATGGAAGAAAGGAAGGAAGGAACGATGGATGGATGAATTGATAGATAGATGGAAGGAAGGAAGGAACGATGGATGGATGAATGGATGGATGGAAGGAAGGAAGGAAGGAACGATGGATGAATTGATGGATGGATGGATGGATGGAAGGAACGAACGAACGATGGATGGATGAATTGATAGATGGAAGGAAGGATGAATGGAAGGGTTGGTGGGTGGGTGGGTAAATGGAAGGATGGAAGGAAGGATGGATGGGTGGGTGGGTGGGTAGATGGAAGGATGGATGGATGGATGGAAGGAAGGAAGGAAGGAAGGAAGGACAGTAGCAATAGCCCTTAGACTTATATACCGCTTCACAGTGTGTTACATCCCTCTCTAAGCAGTTTACAGAGTCAGCCTCTTGCCCCCCAACAATCTGGTTCTACCGACCTCGGAAGGATGGAAGGCTGAGTCAACCTCGAGCTGCTCAGGATTGAACTCTTGGCAGTTGGCAGAGTCGCCTGCAATATTGCACCCTTTGTTCAACCTTTTGCCTCTTCCTCCTCCCCCCCCCATTAGATATCGATGAATGCGCCCGGCCCAACATCTGCGGAGACGGCGGTTCCTGCATCAACTTCCCAGGACACTACAAATGTGACTGCCATCCCGGATATCGGCTGAAGCCCTCCCGGCAGCCGCTGTGTGAGGGTACGGAGTGGGGAGCCAGGTTGGGGAATGCCCAAGTCTGTGGGGTGTCCCTTCTGTGCTTGATGGTTTTTCTTGCAGACGTTTCACTACCAAACTAGGGAACACCATCAGTGTTGATGCTACAGTGATGCACTGATCAGTGTCAATGCACTGATGCTCTTACCTAGTTTGGTAATGAAACGTCTGCAAGGAAATAATTAAGCTCAGAAATCACTAAGGACCCCATAGTTCTCCTCCTCCTCCCTTCTGCAAACTCCACTTCCTTCTAGCCCTGATGATGTTACCTAGTTGGATCATAAAATGTCTGTAAGAAAACCACCAAGCTCAGAAAACACTGAGGACCCCACAGTTCTCCTCCTCCTCCTCTTCCAACCCCCCTCCTCCTCTTCCTCCTCCTCCTCCTCTTCCAACCCCCCTCCTCTTCCTCCTCCTCCTCCTCCTCCTCCTCCTTTGCAAACCCCACTTCCTTCTAGCCCTGATGATGTTACCTAGTTGGGTCATAAAATGTCTGTAAGAAAACCACCAAGCTCAGAAAACACCAAGACCCCACAGTTCTCCTCCTCCTCTTTCAACACCCCTCCTCCTCCTCCTCCTCTTCCTCCTCCTCCTCCTCCTCTTCCTCCTCCTCCTCCTCCTTTGCAAACCCCACTTCCTTCTAGCCCTGATGATGTTACCTAGTTGGGTCATAAAATGTCTGTAAGAAAACCACCAAGCTCAGAAAACACTGAGGACCCTACAGTTCTCCTCCTCCTCCTCCTCCTCTTCCAACCCCCCTCCCTTCCAGCACTGATGATGTAACATAGTTTGGTACTGAAACATCTTTAAGGGAATAATTAAGCTCAGAGAGCAGCAAGGACACCACAATTGTCCTCCTTTTAAACTTTTTTCAGCACCGTTATAACTTCGAACGGTCGTTAAATGAATTGCTGTAAGCCGAGGACTCCCCGTATCTTCAAAAATGTCTCTGAAATGTCACCCAGGTTTTCTCTTCTCCTTGGGGAAAAAAATGCCCAAAGCAACGTATTTTTTTTTCACCAAATGGAAATGGCAGGAGAAAAACGTCCCAATGAAGTAAAAAATGAGTTTTGCTACGTTAAGCGTTTCAGCGTCACTGAGGCATTTCTCTTTTCCTTTTTTTTAAAAAAAATGTTTGCCTTTCAGATGTCGACGAGTGTCTTGATCCTGGAACTTGCCCTGAGGGGAGATGTGAAAATAAACCTGGCAGTTATAAATGTATCCCGTGCCAGCCAGGCTTCCGGGCCCAAAATGGCATCTGTTATGGTAAGACTTGCTGCAACTGCCTTTCAGCTTTAGGAAGATTGTCAGACTTTATGGTTGGAGTTTTTTAAAAAAAAAAAAAAAAAAAAGTTAAGTGTCTAGTCCTCATGACAAAAAAAAATTACCAGATTTTATAGTTGTTGTTTTTTTAAAAAAGAGATAAGCATCTAGTCCTCGTGATTAAAAACGCCAGACACTCTGGTTGATTTTAAAAAGAATCTAGTCCTCATGACTAAAAAACATTGTCAGACTATCTGGTTGTTTTTAAAGTCTAAATTCTCATGACTAAGAATATTGTCAGATTTTATGTCTCAAAGGTGTTTTTTTTTTTTTCTTTTCAAGAGGCAACTGGACTTCCTTGTTTTTTTCCTTTGAAGACGTTTCGCTTCTCATCCAAGAAATTTCTTCAGCTATCAGATTTTATGGTTGTTTTTAAAAAGAGTCTAGTCCTCATGACTTAAAAAAATATGGTTGTTTTAAAAAGGGCGTAACCCTCGTGAGGGAAATATATTGTAAGACTTTATCCTTGTTTATTTTTTTAAAAAGAGTTACCGTAAGTGTCTAGTCCTCATGATGAAAAAAAAAATTACCAGATTTTATGGTTGTTTTTAAAAAGTCTAGTCCTCATGACTTAAAAAAAATGGTTGTTTTAAAAAGGGCGTAACCCTCGTGAGGGAAATATATTGTAAGACTTTATCCTTGTTTATTTTTTAAAAAAGAGTTACCGTAAGTGTCTAGTCCTCATGATGAAAAAAAAAATTACCAGATTTTATGGTTGTTTTTAAAAAGAGTCTAGTCCTCATGACTTAAAATAAAATATTGTTAGACTTTATGGTTGTTTGAAAAAGAGCATAACCCTCGTGAGTGAAAAATATTGTAAGACTTTATTTATTTATTTATTTAAAAAGAGTTAAGTGTCTAGTCCTCATGATAAAAAAAAAGGTTCGGATACCATGGCGGTTGTGGAAGGCCTCCGAGGTCTCTTCTAGCCTGACGATTCTATAGGGCCCAAGCCTCGAAATAGCTCATTGTCTTATCCTCTCCCTGCTCCAGATGTGGACGAGTGCGCCGAGGATGTTTCCTGCAAACACGGCTGGTGCGAGAACATGGCTGGCTCCTTCCGCTGTTCCTGCGGTGAAGGCTTCACGCCTACCGCTGATTTCCGCAGCTGCGTCGGTAAATTCCTTTCCGCGCCCCATGCAGAAAAACTCCACTCGGTCCATTGGGAAAAAAAGTAAAATTCAAAATTTTAAAATCAAAAGAATGCCTTAGTAAATAAAATTTAAAAACTCCTGAGAAAGCCTCTTCAGGAAGCCCTCCCCGGAGTTAGCCGTCCGTCGGCCGTCTTTACCAGAAGCCCCAGAAAACCCAGCTCAGTTCACCTTGTTAAGAGTTTGGTGTTTGGCACTAAACTGGCAGCCTCAGCATCCTGGCCTCCCTCGCAGGGCTGTCGGGAAAAAAGATGTCGGCCTGAACAGAAATGGCCCAGACCCTGAACCATGGGCCACTCATGAAGTCGAGCCTCAAATTTTCTCCTGCATCATTAAGATTTCCTTGGTCTTCGGAGGGGGGGGGGACATTGACTACAATTCCCATCCTCCCCAGCCATGATGGGCGAACGATTAGGGAAGCAGTAGTAGTTCCCCCTGTTTTCTCGTCTTCCTGCAGACGTCAACGAGTGCCAGAACGGTTCGCTGTGTGCCCACGGAGTTTGTGTGAACACGCTGGGGTCCTTCAAGTGTCAGTGTCCGGCTGGTTTCCAGGCAGTGAAGGATGGGCCACGCTGCAAGGGTGAGAAAGGGAAACCGAGGGTCTTGTATAAACTCCTGAGAAGCGGGGAAAGAGAACTTTTGAGCATGTGCAGAAGGCTTCTCTGCCTGTGTTTGCCGTGCCTCTGAAGCGATCGGTTATTACGTGAATAAAATTTGTGCCAGCGCCTTTGTTGAAAAAAAAAATAAATAGGATGCAAGATTTTGTGCATGGGGTTGAGTCAGTGTTTCTCCAAGTTTAGGAGCACTAAGATATGTGGACTTCGACTCCCAGAATTCCCCAGCCTGGGGGATACTGGGAGTTGAAGTCTTAGTGATGCAAAGGTTGAAACACACTGCATTAAATTGTCTATTCTTTTAAGATCAGGGGAAAGGGCTGTGTGCGAACGTACGTGTGTATATCCAGAAGGTTTAAATACAGACAGGATACGGGCAGCCCAAGCCACTGCAACAGGCAGCAAAGCTCACAATCCCTCACACTGATGGCATTACGTTATTGGGTAATAAGACGTCTACAAGCAAATCACCAAGGACCCCCAAGGATTAAAATGCTCGATCACAGCCACATTTCAGCTCCCAAATCTATTTAAATATTCTGTTCTGATCCAAACAGAGAGACAAATGATAGATGGGATGGGATGGGATGGGATAGGATGGGTGGATGGATGGATGGATGGATGGATGGATGGATGGATGGATAGATAGATAGATAGATAGATAGATAGATAGATAGATAGATAGATAGACAGACAGACGAGGATGGATGGATAGATAGATAGATAGATAAGGATGGATGATGGATGATTAATACTAGAAATGATAGACAGACAGACAGATGATGGATATAGATAGATCGATAGATAGACAGACAGACAGATAGGTAGATGATTAATACTAGAAATGATAGATAGGCAGACAGAGAGATGATTACTAGAAATGATGGATAGATAGATAGATAGATAGATAGATAGATAGATAGATAGATAGATAGATAGATAGATAGATAGATATGGATGATGGATGATTAATACTAGAAATGATAGATAGGCAGACAGACAGAGAGAGAGATGATTACTAGAAATGATAGATGGATGGATGGATGGATGGATGATTAATACTAGAAATGATAGAAAGACAGACATGATTAATACTAGAAATGATAGATAGATAGATGGATGGATAGATAGATAGATAGATAGATAGATAGATAGATTATTAATACTAGAAATGATATACAGACAGATAGATAGATGATTAATACTAGAAGAGAGAGAGAGAGAGAAACTGACTGGATGGATGGATGGATGGATGGATGGATGATAGAGAGAGACAGACAGACAGATACAGATGGATAAAGATGGATGAGATGTGGGCAGAGAGATAGATTGATTTGGGGACTGAGATGTGTCTATGACTGACCATTCTAGCAAATAGCATGAGAGATAACAATGCCAATTAACCGTGTGCAGAGTTCTCTGTCATTTCCTGAGGATAAATCCTGACCGGCTTTCTAACTACACCTGTCAATTTGAGATTATTTCTCCCCACTCACACCTCCGACTGGAAATCATGACTTCTGAGCAAATCACAATCCCTGCCCTTTCTGCTGATAAAAATTGGGGCATCGTTTTTATTTTATTTTATTTCATTCAATCCTTTTTGCCCTCTCCAGATGTGAACGAATGCGAGTTTCCCGCCGCCTGCATTGGGGGCGAGTGTGTAAACACCGTGGGCTCCTACCAATGTCTTTGCCGGACGGGATACCAGTTGGAAAGGAATAGAAAGTGCCAAGGTTTGTGTGTCTTAAGTATGTATGTGTGAGCGAGCTCTCCTCCCGTCTCCCTCGCCAACAAGTTGGGGCTCACAAGGGAACCCCGTGTTTTTGCAGAAGGGGCATCTGATCCGTGACCCCGTGCCAAGCTCACCTGTTAGGACCCAGGTGGTTGTTGTGGACCGCCAGTGGCCAGCAGAGCTGGCAGCAGAGTCCGACAGTGAGGAGGCTGGGGAGGAACGTGGGCCAGTCCTGGAGTCTTGGGAAGGCTCGGACAAGGGCTCTGAGTCGGAGGCAGAGAGGGAGCCAAGGCCATCTGGTAGTTCTTTCCTGCCTCCGGAGTCTGACATCAGCAAGGCAGAAGAACAGCGGGAGCCTGTTCCCAGTGTGCGCATGCGCAGAGCTGCCAGAAGACAGGAACAATTGAGGAAACGGGGTCAATTTAGGAGTAAGGCTTGGAGATGATTGGCCCCTCCCATAAGACATAAAAGAGAAGCGAATGGGACGTGAGCTTTTGCAGGAAGCAATTAGTTAATCTGGTCGGCAAAAGCTCTGTTTGACTCTGTGCCAAATTTGGCCTTGCCCTGCACGTGGCAATTAGTTCTCTGGCAGCATTCCAAGGGAGATAAGTTGGGTGTTTGTAAATACTCCCCTGAAAGACTGTTTGAGAAGCCTGTTGGACTAGGCATGACAATAATTCATAGCCATATGAATTAAAGAGGTTTGCCGGGACAAACGGGTGGCACGCGGAGCCATATCGGTGGGCATGCGAGTGTTGCCCTAGCTCAGCACCAGCCAGCTGATTTTCGGGCCTTCCGGGCCCACCAGAAGTCAGCAAATGGGCCGTTTCCAGCCTCCGGGGGGATGGGGAAGACTGTTTTTGCCCTCCCCAGGCTCCAGGAAAGCATCTGGAGCCTGGGAAGGGCGAAAAACGGGCCTACTGGACCCACCGTGCCATCGAGTGCCAAAAGCGGGGGGAGTGCAGGGGTGTCGTATGCACATGCGTGGGGCGCACTGAATTATGGGTGTGGGCACGCGTGGGTGCGACCCCCACTTTTGGCACACGACGGCAAAAAGGCTAGCCATCACTGACATAGAGCCAGGACAGGTGGGCGGGGCCACCCACAATTTCCACTAAATACCACCTCTGATGACATCACCTATTCCCCATGGATGCTCCATTCTATGTGCCAGGATCAGTTGGGGTTTGTGCAAATCTTTCCGTAAATTTTGGGGTGGTGGTGGGGATCAAGAGGTCTGAGCACGCCCGTTTTCCCTGGCACAAACACCCACGTATGCCTCCCCAGACATCGACGAGTGCGCGCGAGATCCTGACCTCTGCCAGCCCCACGGGGCGTGCGAGAACACCGCGGGCTCCTTCGTGTGCGTGTGTGACGAGGGATTCACGCTTGCCAAAGACCAGCAGAGTTGCGAAGGTAAGTGGATTGTGTGATGAGGTGGGAGTGCGGACACACCTGAGGGTGGGAGAAATTCCTGAGAATGACGGACGGTGACGTTTTCTCCGCAGAGCTGCCCCACCATAAAAAGGAGTGCTACCTGAACTTCGATGATAGCGTGTTTTGCGATAGCGTGCTCGCCACCAACGTGTCTCGCCAGGAGTGCTGTTGCTCCCTCGGGGCCGGCTGGGGAGATCATTGCGAGATCTATCCGTGTCCCGTTCTCAACTCGAGTAAGTTGGAAATCTCCTGTGTCCGATTCTCATTAAGTTGGAAAGCTATCCTTGTTCCAAACTCAGCTTGAGACAGAGTAAAATAGAATAACAGAGCTGGAAGGGACCTTGGAGGTCTTCTAGTCCAACCCCCTGCTTAGGCAGGAAACCCTCCACCACTTCAGACAAATGGTTATCCAACATCTTCTCAAAAACTTCCACTGTTAGAGCATTCACAACTTCTGCAGGCAAGTTGTTCCACTGATTAATTGTTCTAACTGTCAGGAAATTCCTCATTAGTTCTTTTATTTTATTTTATTTTTTTAAAGTTTTTTTATTTTTTTAAAAACATAAACATAAAATACGTCTTTTTAGAACGAAGCATTGATCTGGTCATAAATTGGTAGAATCACAAATTCATGTTTAACAACGACTCCTCTCCACTAATCATCATCTTATAAAAATAATAATAAAAAAATAAAACAGAGTGGGGGAAAAAACAGCTCACAATAACTCGCTCAAAACAATTACCTTTCTATTTTTTCACCTCAGATCTTAATTTCCAAATAACACAACTTAATGTTTTACACAATTGTTTCCCTAAATTCTATCTATTTTATAATACCATTATCCAAGAACCCTTTACTTAAATCTTTAAATCCTCACTCAATATCATTTCATTATCTTTTCTTTTTATTTAGATGAATGTATCTTAAAAATATAAATCATTACTATTATCATAAACAATATCTTAACTATCGCTCACAACAAATCATCTTCATTGCTATTTATCTCAACATAATCATCCTAATTTTACTAGTAATCACAACATAATCATCTTTAATTGTTTATCACAGCACATCATCTTCATCTTAATCCTCATTTCTTACTTTTAATTCCAACGTAATTTTTATTTTTACTGTTGAACCCAGCATAATCATTTATTTTTACTGTTATTCCCAGCAAGATCATCAGGAAATTCCTCATTAGTTCTATGTTGCTTCTCTCCTTGATTAGTTTCCACCCATTGCTTCTTGTCCTACCCTCAAGGCTTTGGAGAATAGCTTGACTCCTTCTTCCTCGTGGCAGCCTCTCAAATTATGGAAGACTGCTCTCATATCTCCCCTAGTCCTTCTTTTCGTAAATTAGACATACCCAGAATGAGAGAATAAAAGTTGGAAGGGACCTTTGTAGATCTTCTAGACCAGCCCGATACAATTTCAGACGAATGGTTGTCCAATCTCTTCTTAAAACCCTCCATTTTGGAGCATCCTTCTGAAGAGCACAGTGGTTATCAATCAGAGTAGAGCTGGGAGGGGGACCCTGGAGGTCTTCTAGTCCAACCCCCAGCTCAAGCAGGAATGCCTATATAGCAGAGGTCTTCAAACTTGGCAGCTTCAGACTTGTGGACTTCAACTCCAGAATTCTCCAGCCAGCTATGCTATGCTGGCTGGAGAACTGGGAGTTGAAGTCCACAAGTCTGAAAGCTGCCAAGTTTGAAGACCTCTGCTATATATCTTTCCAGAAATCATGATTTGAGTTTCACCTGTACTTCTTCCTTCCTGGACCAGTTGAGTTCCACACTTTGTGCCCAGACGGAAAAGGGTTCATCCTGGATGAGAGCATCCTGAACTATGGCATTCCAACGCATCGAGGTGAGTTTTTGGGTGCTCGGTCCTGAAATACGGAGGGGTGGAGGCCTTTTGAGGTGGCCTTGATGGGAGCAGAGAGAGGGTGTCACAGCAGCATCTCTCTCCGGCACAGGATATTCTGACCTAGGCCCCCTTAACAAGCGGAGGCAGGAATTACTGTCAAAACCTCTTTTTTTTACCACGACTGTGAATTACGTTCATTCACAGTCAGCAAGGTTTGTCCAAGCAGTTTTTCAAAGGAATATTCTCAACACCAACTTATCTGCTTGGAAAGCTGCCATGTAACTTGTTTTACCGCAGTACAGGCCAAACTTGGCACAGAGTCACGGAATGAACAAATTGTTTTCTGCAAAAGCCCACTCCCCGTTCGCTCCTCTTTTGTTTCCTATGGGAGGGGCCAATCACCTCTAGGTGTGGCTTTACTCCCGAGTCGACCCTGCTTTTTAGTTGTTCTTGTCTTCTGCAGCTCTGCGCATGCACACACTGGGAACGGGCTCCAGCAGTTCCTCTGCCTCATGCTGTCTGGCTCCCTCTCTTGCCGACTCAGAGCCTCTCCGAGCTTCCCCCAGTCCAGGCTGGCCCCATTCCTCCCCAACCTCCTCACTGTCCGACTCTGCGCGCCAGCTCTGCTGGCCGCCGGGGCCACAACACAGGGCCTGGGAGGGCGAATTGTCCTCTTGACCAGTCTCCCCCCCCCTCCTCCTCTGAAGCTGGACAAAGGGGGGCGGCTGTGGGTCTTGAGGTCTTCTCGGCGTGGCCCTCAAAGCAGGAAGAGGGGATGGTTACATCTCGGGGTGTCCATGCGACCCCCTGTGCCATTTTGGTAATGTGGAGTTTTGTTGAATGGCTTTTTTTTCTCCTTCCATCTCTTTCTCCTTCTACTCCTCTTCCTTCTCCTTCCATTCTTCTTTTTGCCTCTGGCATCATTTTTTTCTTCTTTTTCCTTTCCTTCTGTTTTTCCTTCTCTCCTCTCTTCTTGTTTCCATCTCTTCATTTTCTCTTCTTCTTCTCCACCTATGTCTTTTTTTCCTTTTCTTCTTTCCATCCTTCCTTTTTCTCGTCTGTTCTTCTCTTTTCTGGTTTTCCATCTCTTTGTTTTTCCTTCTCCACCTTCATATTCTTTTCTTTTTTTCTCCTTTTCCTCCTCTTTTCTTTCCTTCTCCTCTTTGTCTCCTCTTCCTGCTCCTCTTCATCTTCATCTCTTTTTCTTTCCCTCTCCACTTCCTGTTTTCCATCTTTTCATTTCTTCTTCCACTCTTCCACCTTCATCTCTTTCATTATCTCTTCGTTTTCTCCTTCTCTTCCTCTTTGTCCCTGTTCTCCTCATCACTCTCTTCGTTCCTTTCTTTCTCTACTCCTGCCTTCCTCTCGTCCTCTTTCTTCCTCTTCTCCTCCTTTTGTCTGCTCCTTCTCTCCTCACCTCTCTCGTTCCTTTCTTTTTCCTCTCCTGCCTCCATCTCGTCCTCTTTCTTCTTTTCTCCTCCTCTTTGTCTCTCCTCCATCACCTCTCCTTTGTTCTTTCTTTCTCTTCCTCCCCTGCCTTCCATCTTTCTCCCTTTCTTCTCCTTTCTCAGACATCGATGAGTGCTCCCTGTTTGGCGAAGAGATCTGCAAGGAAGGGAAATGTGTGACACCCAGCGGGGGCTACGAATGTTACTGCAAGCAGGGCTTCTACTACGACGCCCTCTTGGATTAGTGTGTCGGTAGGAAGGGAAGCCAGCATGGGGAGTAAATTTGACCTCTGAGTAGCAACAGAGGAAGAAACCGGCCTGTCAGAGCTGACTTACCATTTCAGAAACGGGAGGGGGGGGAGAGGATTGATAAATACCAGGAGCGAGCATGCTGAGGAATGCATGTGAGCCACCTTATTTTTATTTATTTATTTGTCAAGCATGTACAAGATAACAGGTATAAGTATAAACATGATTATGAACACAGGAAATGGATACGGATAAATGGGGACAGTAGGACAGGACGGTGGGCACGCTGGTGCGCTTATGCACGCCCTTACAGACCTCTTAGGAATGGGGTGAAGTCAACAGTAAGACAGTCTAAGGTTAAAGTATTGGGGGTTTGGGGGAAGAGACCACAGAGTCAGGTAGTGCATTCCAGGCCTTGCCCACTCTGTTGCTAAAGTCATATTTCCTGCAATTGAGTTTGGAGCGGTTTCCCTTGAGTTTGTATCTATTGTGTGCCCACGTATTATTGCGGTTGAAGCTGAAGTAGTCATTGACAGGTAGGACGTTGTAGCAGATAATTTGTGCTGCGCTACATTTAAGTCGGACCGAAGGCGGTGTAGTTATAGGTTGTCCAAGCCCAACATTTCAAACCTGGTGGCCTAAGGTATTTTGTTGCAAGCAGAGGAGTGGAGGACTCTTCTCGTGAAATATTTCTGGACACGCTCAATCGTATTAATGTCCGATATACAGTGTGGCTTCCAGGCAGACGAGCTGTATTCGAGAATTGGGTCTAGCAAAGGTTTTGCATGCCCTAGTTTGCAGTACAATGTTACCGGAGAAGAAGCTACGCAAATAGGTTAACAACTTTTAATGCTGTTGCTTGAGAAAGTTGCGATGGTCGTTAAGTGTGAAAACTGGTCGTCATTCACATTTTCCAGTGCCGTTGTAACTCTGAAGGGTCACTAAATGAATGGTTGTAAGATGAGGATTACCTGAAATTCTAAAGGAGAAAGATAGTGTAATTCTAACTTGAGGCCTTGGGAATTAGTCAGTCGGGATCCCAGGCTTTTTTCTTCTGTCAATCTGGAGATTCCCGGCTGAGAGTTCCTACTCACAGTCTTCTGTTCCCATCCTAGATGTGGATGAGTGTTTGGACGAGTCCAATTGTGTGAACGGACGCTGCGAAAACACTCGGGGCAGCTTCCGCTGTGCCTGCCCGGCCTCCACCACGTACGATCCGGCCCAGAAGAATGCGTTCCGACCAGCAAAATTGGTGAGCGCTTGCGAGGGTTTCTCAACCACAAGGACACTTTAAGAGGGGCGGACTTCAACTCCCAGAATTCCCCACTCAGTATTTCGGTATTTTTTTCCTTCCTTTTATTCTGTCACCTTCCTTCCTTCCTTCCTTCCTTCCCTCCCTCCCTCCCTCCCTCCCCTTCTCCCTTCCATCCACTTTTCTTCATTCCAATCTCCTTCCTCCCTCCCTCCCTTCCTCCCTTCTTTCCCTCCTTCCTTCTCATTCCCATCTCCTCCTTCCTTCCTTCCTTCCTTCCTCCCTCCCTCCCTCCCTCCCTCCCTCCCTCCCTTCCATCCACCTTTCTTCTCATTCCAATCTCCTTCCTCCCTCCCTCCCTTCCTCCCTTCTTTCCCTCCTTCCTTCTCATTCCCATCTCCTTCCTTCCTCCCTCCCTCCCTCTCTCCCTTCCTTCCTCCTTCCCTCCCTCCTTCCATCCACCTTCCTTCCTTCTTTCCCTCCTTCCTTCTTTCCCTCCTCATTCCCATCTCCTTCCTTCCTTCCTTCTTCCCTCCCTCCTTCCTTCTTTCCCTCCTTCCTTTTTTCCCTCCTTCTCATTCCCATCTCCTTCCTTCCTTCCTCCCTCCCTCCTTCCTTCTCATTTCCCTCTCCTTGCTCCCTCCTTCCATCCACCTTCCTCCTTTCCCTCCTTCCTTCTCATTCCAATCTTCTTCCTTCCTCCCTCCCTCCCTTCCTCCCTCCCTTCTTTCCCTCCTTCTCATTCCCATTCTCCCTCCCTCCCTTCCATCCAGCTTCCTTCCTTCTTTCCCTCCTTCCTTCTTTCCCTCCTTCTCATTCCCATCTCCTTCCTCCCTCCCTCCCTCCCTTCCATCCACCTTCCTTCCTTCTTTCCCTCCTTCTCATTCCCATCTCCTTCCTTCCTTCCTTCTTTCTTCCCTCCCTCCCTCCCCCCCTTCTTTTCTCTTCTTTCTCTTTCTCTTTTTCCAAAAGTTGGATTGCCTACAAACCAAAGCCACAGTCATCTGCTGGCCCAAAAAGGGTCCCCAGGTCTCACCCTGTTGAATTTCTAGTCCCTCTCCCTCATTTCTCTTCTCTTCTCCCCTCCCCTCCATCCCTTCCCTACAGACAAAGTGACTGATCGACGGGACGTCTGCTGGCAACTCCGGGGGGAAGACGGGATGTGTTCATCACCGTTCGGTGGCCAACAGTTGACATACGAGGAGTGCTGCTGCCGTCACGGCAAAGGGTGGGGTTACCAGTGCCACGCCTGCCCGCCACGCAGCCCAGGTAACAGAGCATTCTGGGAAGACTGTCATCTCTCACCCTTCCTTTTTGGCGCCACCTCTGTTTTTCAAAGTTTGGTCCTTCGAAGGCGTGGGAAATTCTCCGAAGATGGGCTGATTAGAAAGATTGAAATCCTAGCCAAATCTTTTTTCCAAAAATCAGGATTGAAATTTGGGAGCCGAAGGGTCTTTAGAGCATGTGCAGAGTTCTCTTACCTTTCTTACACACTTGGAAGCGGGGAAGATACATTTGCAAGAAAGCTCCAACTGCAGCATCCTTCTTTGTGCCTGAAGGGTGTGTTTGAGAACATTTGAGCCAGTTTGCTCTAGCGGTTAAGGCACCAGGCTAGAAACCAGGAGACGGAGAGTTCTAGTTCTGCCTTAGACGTGAAAAATAGCTGGCGGTGAAGACATCAGACTAGAAACCAGGACTCCGTGAGTTCTAGTCCCGCCCTAGCCATGAAAGCCGGCTGGGTGACTTTAGGCCAATCCCCAGGAGATGGTGAATTCTAGTCCCGCATAAACCATGAAAGCCAGCTGGGTAACTTTGGGCCAATCACCAGGCAAATGTGAGTTCTAGTCCCGCCTTACGCCTGAAAGTCGGCTGGGTGACTTTGGGCCAATCACCAGGCGAAGGTGAGTTCTAGTCCCGCCTTAGCCATGAAAGCCGACTGAGTGAATTTGGGCCAGTCCCTTTCTCAGCCCTACCCACCTCACAGGGTTGTTGTTGTGGGGGGGAAATAGGAGGGAGAAGGAGTTATAAATATATTCAGCACCCTGAATTTTTTATTAAAAAAAAACAATAAAAAGTGGGATAAAAATAAATAGATCTTGTGGGCGCCCTCACAGAAGGGCTCTTCTGCTTCTGTACCAGCTCGGGGCTTCTGCCCGTTTCCGGAAGGGTAACCTCTGGGGACAGGATGGTGACCATTTCTCTCTTCCCCACCCAGGTTCCAACTGCCAATCTGCTCCAAGCGAAAGCAATTCTTTCTGGGACTTCAGTACCCCGTTCGGGGAGGTGCATAAAGGTGAGCCGAAGTGGGGAAGCAGAGCTCACCTGCATCGCTAATGTCATTGACGGCGGAACTCCCTGCCACAAGACGGAGGAGGGATGCCCAAGAGCCTCGATTGGGCAAAGCTCTGCAGGGCAGTTTGCCAATAATGCTGGCTGGGTTTTCCTTCCAGGATTTTTGCCCCTTCCGTCCAGTGTCTGGGAGATATCGGGGGAAAGAGTACCACTCAGGGCTCCTCGGGGGATTTAGCTCTCTAGAAGGGCTCCGCAGGGGCCTTTAGCCTGAGCTAAGTGTCTCTTCTGATGTTCTAAACATGGCCCAACAGGGGGCTTTCCCTGGAACTGCCAGGGGTGGGACACACACACACACACACACACACCCAGGGCTGGGATGGCAGCTGCATAGCCACCGATGATGGACCAAAAGGACTCCAGAGCAGGAAGAGGGAGGTGGAAATGTGTCCGTTGTTAGGAGATGAGGATTATGAATATGCTAAGTCACATAAGTCTATCTGTCCACCTATCCATACTCCTCCCTTCCTCCTTCTCTCTTCTTTTCCTTCCTCCCTCTCTTCCCTCCTTCCATCAATCTCTTAATCCTTCCTCCCACCTCCCTTTCTTCCTTTGATCTCTTAATCCTTCCTTCCTCCTTCTCTCTTCTTTTCAATCCTCTCTCCCTCCCTCTTATCCTTTCATCCAGCCCTCAAACCTCCCTCCCTCCTTCTCCCTACCTTTTTTCCTTCAAACTCCCCTTCCTTCCTTCCTTCCTTCCATCTTTCAGTCCTTCCTTCCTCCCTCCCTCCTTTTCCATCCTCTCCCTCCCTTCCCTCCTTCCATCCCTCCTTCCATCCTTTCTCCAACCTCCCTTTCTTCCTTCCTTTGATCTCTTAATCCTTCCTTTCCTTCCTTCCTCCCTCCCATCCGTCCATCCATCCCTCCATCCCTCAATCCTTCCTCCCTCTCCCTCCCTTCTTTCCTTCAATCTCCCCTTCCTTCCTTCCTTCCATCCATCCTTCTTTCAGTCCTTCCTTCCTCCCTCCCTCTCCCTTCTTTTCCATCCTCTCTTCCTCCCTTCCCTCCTTCCTTCCCTCCTTTCTCCCACCTCCCTCACTTCCTTCCTTTGATCTCTTAATCCTTCCTTCCTTCTTTCCTCCCCTCTATCTTTCAGAACTTCCTCCCTCCTTCCCTCTCCCTTCTTTTCCATCCTCTCTTCCTCCCTTCCCTCCTTTCTCCCACCTCCCTCTCTTCCTTCCTTTGATCTCTTCCTTCCTTCTTTCCTTCCTTCCGCCCTCCCATCCATCCATCCATCCCTCAATGCTTTTTCCCCTTCCCTACCTTCTTTCCTTCAAACTCCCCTTCCTTCCTTCCATCCATCTATCCTTCCTTCCTTCCTTCCTTCTATTCATCCCTCCCTCCCTCCCTCCTTCCTTCCTCACCCTCCCTTCCTCCCTCCCTCCCTCCCCCTCTTTTGTTGAAAACTAGCAAAAAGTGTCATAAACCGAGGTCCCATCAACTCGCCATAAAGTGGGCCATTTGCCAGGCACCTGAAATGTGGCCCTGGCGTTGCAGCTGTTTGTGCAGTCATCCTAACTCCAGAATTCTAAGTAGCTTTCGGGAAGTCCATCATAACTTCGACCAGTCACTGAGCGAGTGGTCCTAACTCGAGGACTACCTGTAACCGTTTCCTGTGTTTGCCGATGTTTATTAAATAACATTTCTGGTCTTTTTCTATTTTTGCTGGCTGAACTGAACAGCAGGAAGTGTGCTTGTCCTGCTCTGGATTCAGGAATCGGGCTGGGTGTGTGCAGGAAATTACCCAGGGTCCCTTTTCCAGATGTTTGGGCCTTTTTATCACATCTGTTTCTTTTGGCTACAGAGGCCGACAGTTCAGAAGAGGATTCGGACGAATGCCGCTGCCTGAATGGGCGCTGTGTCCGCACCCAGCAGGGTTCTGTGTGCGAATGTCCCACAGGCTTCCAGCTGGACGGCACTCGCACCCGCTGCCTAGGTAAGGGGTGGGTGGGGGGCTTCCCCGCTCCTGCACTGCCCTGATATTCTCTGCCAGAGGAACCCCTGTTGCAGCAAGTAGCTAATTTCACACGCTCAGAATTAGGTGGAGCCTCTGGATTCAGCGCAGTCTATCTTAGGATGCCAGCAAGCAAACAAGCTCAACCCTTATTGACCATTCTAGTCATGGACTCATCAACTTACAATCACAACTGCCCCATTCTTCTTGCCATAATTTTGGGGCATAAAAAACAGAGTTAACAGAATTAGATAAAATTCTATAAAGAACAGAGGAGAAGGCGATAAGGAAAATATATCATTATTTACTGGAACAGGATATGTTAGAAGAACAAGTAAAAGAAACTATGTTAATTTGGAGTAAACATTTTGGCCGTAGAATTGACTTAGATTGGCAGGATCTATGGGAAAGAAATATAAAAATTACTCTAGCTACTACCGTGTTTCCCCGAAAATAAGACCCTGTCTTATATTTTTTTGAATCCTGAAATAAGCGCTTGGCCTTATTTCCATGCGCTCAAAAGCCCGATTGGGCTTATTATCAGGGGATGTCTTATTTTGGGGAAAAACAGGGTACGTATAAAGAAAATGTATACAAGATGTTCTATGGGTGGCATCTCCCACCGACAAGACTAGCAAAAATAAGCAAAAAATATTCATCGAGGTGTTGGAAGCGCGAGGCAGTGCCAGGCACTTTTTATCACATGTGGTGGGAATGCCCAAAAGCTACAAAATTTTGGCACCAGATAAAACAATGGCTAGGAGAGATATTAATGCAAAATGTAGAACCAAAATCGGAATTCTTTTTACTGGGCATCATAAAGGGCAATTACGACAAGGGTACAATATATCTAATGTTACATATTCTAACAGCAGCAAGATTAGCTTTTTTACAAAAATGGAAAAATAAAGAGAACCCCATAGAAGACGAAGTATTAGCTAAAATATTAACTTGTGTGGAAATGGACAGGTTGACTCTGGAACTTAAAGGTAAGAATGAAACAGAGTGTTATGAAATCTGGAACAAATTTTATTATTGGCTGGGCAGGGGGAGGAATGCTGGGATAAAGGATTATTGATGAGTTGAATGTTTAGAAGCTTTTATGATAGTTTTCTGTGATAGAGCTGAGGTGGCGCAGTGGTTAGAGTGCAGTACTGCAGCTACTTCAGCTGACTTCTAGTTCAGCAGATCAGCAGATCAAATCTCACCGGCTCAAGGTTGACTCAGCCTTCCATCCTTCTGAGGTGGGTAAAATGAGGACCCAGATTTTTGGGGGCAATATGCTAATGCTAATGCAATATGCTAATATGCAATATGCTATATGCTAACTTTGCAAACCGCTTAGAGAGGGCTGTAAAGCACTATGAAGCGGTATAGAAGTCTAAATAATAATATAATAATAATAATAATATAAGTAAATACAAGTATAATAATAATAAGTATAATAATATAAGTAAATACAAGTAAAGCAGACTGTGGAAGAAGAAAAATGCAGCTTGAATGATTACATCCAGAAAAGTGAAGAACCAATGATTAAGGAAGTAAATAAAGGAGGCCTTTTAAAGACAACTAAAACAAAAGCAGAATATAAGAAAGAAGTAATTGAGCAGCGAGCTGAAAATTGGAAACACAAAACTCTGCATGGCCAATACTTGAAAAGTATTGAAGGCAAAGCTGACCAGAAACTAACTTGGAACTGGTTAAGATCAGGAGTACTGAAAAAAGAAACAGAAAGCTTTATTTTGGCAGCTCAAGAACAAGCCCTAGCCACAAACTGCATGAAGGCAAAAATTCAACATGTTACCACCAACAGCAAATGCCGCCTCTGCAATGAGAAAGAGGAGACAGTCGACCGCCTGATCAGTGGGTGCAGCAAAATTTCACAAACTGACTCCCTACAACGCCATGACCGTGTTGCTAAGATCATTCACTGGAAATTGTGCCAGAAGTTTGGATTTGAGTACAGCAAAAACCACTGGGAACATCAGGTTGAGAAAGTTTTAGAGAATGAGAAACTCAAGATCTTGTGGGACTTTAGGATTCAGACTGACAGGCACTTGGTCCACAACACACCTGACATAACAATAGTTGAAAAGAAAAAGGTATGGTTCATTGACATTGCAATACCTGGTGATGCACGGATTGAAGATAAGCAGCAAGAAAAAATCACAAAGTACCAGGACTTGCAAATTGACGTTGAGCGACTGTGGAAAAAGAAATTGTGTGTTGTCCTGATTGTAATTGGAGCCCTTGGAGCAATACCCAAAGGGCTATCCCGCTATTTAGAAATTCTAAATTTGCCGGACTTGAACATTTTGACTCGACAAAAAACCACCTTACTCGGAACAGCTTACATCCTCCGACGATACCTTAACAGTTCCTAGGTCCTTGGTTAGGACTCGAGCTGCTGAGCTATTAACCAGCCTCAAAGGCTGTGAATCTCACTAAAGATTAACTAGTAATAGTAATAATAATAATAATAATAATAATAATAATAATAATAATAATAATAATAATAATAATAGATAAGAACGAACTTGGGATTGATGTAACCCTCACAGATGAAAGAATCTGAATGTGAATTGAATTGTGATAAATAGTGTAGATTTGTATAGAGCAGGGGTCAGCAACCTGTGGCTCTGGAGCCGCATGTGGCTCTTTTACCCCTCTGCTGTGGCTCCCTGTCAGTCAAAATACGCATCACAACCAACAATGTGCAACACCGGCAGGCACACGATTTATTGAGCTTTTCAACCCCCGGTAGGCGAACCATAGATAAATCCAAAAAAAGAAAAGTTTCAGAAGAAAACACAACGTTTAATTCAACTACATATGCTAGTTTTGTGGCCACTGAAGAAATAGTCAGGCACGGGAAGGGTTTTGTGGCTCCCGGTGTTTTCTTTTCTGTGGGAAACAGGTCCAAATGGCTCTTTTGAGTGTTTAAGGTATAGAGATAAGGAATTGAATCGATTGCAAGGTAAAACGTGATGAAAATGTGTAAACCGGAGACGTCACACCATGTCCAATGTTTTTAATTTGTATTATTAATAAAAAAAACTTTTTATAAAAAAAAAAATTACAATCACAACTGAGGCGGAAAACAGAAGGAGCCCCCCTTGTCCACTCCGTCATCTCTTCCTTCCTTTATAGATATCGACGAGTGCCAGGAGCTAAATCAACGAGGACGGCTCTGTAAAACCGAACGTTGTGTGAATACCAGCGGCTCCTACTTCTGCACCTGCAAATCCGGCTACTCGCGGTCCTGGCCGCGCGGAATCTGCATTCCTCAACGATAGCGTGTCGTACCGACCACAGCATGGAAAGGGGGGGGACGTGGCCATCCACGAATGCCACACACACACATCCCCACCCCTGGCCGCGGTGAGCTTCTCCTCGCGGTCCACCGTCGGAAACTGGATCCTGGTTTGAAAGAGACTTTGTCTAAATTCACCAAGACGGTTCTCACTTTATTATATGGACCTTTTTAAAAAAAAAAAAAAAAAGTTGTACCAGCTACTAAGAGGGGCATTGATTTTGCTGTAGAATTTTATACCTATTCGCGTTTTCTGTTCTTTTTTAACCCGCTGGATTCTTAGGGTTTTGTTTTTGTTTTTTTTTAAAAAAGAAAAACGGTTTGCACTTGTTTCTATAGGATTCAGAAATAATAATAAAAGAAATTTTCCTTTTGTACATAGTAAGACATTGGTGGAAGGAGAAATAAAAGACGGGAATTTCAAAATTAATCTGCTCATTAAAAATGGGAAATTGCCGTACAGATTGACGGTGTCTAATTTGCCCTCGGCAGCGGGATAAAGGAAAGTTTTGATTACAACATGGGGCATTTTAACATATTCAGGCAAAAAGCATGTTTACCCCAAATATATAATAATAATAATAATAATAATAATAATAATAATAATAATAATAATAATAATAATAATAATAATAATAATAATAATAATAATAATTTTATTTCTATACCGCCCTTCTCCCGAAGGACTCAGGGCGGTGTACAGCCAATTTAAAAACACAAGACACAACAATGATTAAAATTTAAAATAATTAAATAGATTTGGCCGGTTTAAAACCCCAAAAATTTAAAATACCCCAATTTAAAATTATTATGTTGATAGCCCGGTCTGGCGGAACAACAGGGTCTTCAATGTGTAACGAAACACCTGGAGGTTGGAGATCTTGCGTATTTCTGGGGGCACTTCATTCCACAGGGCTGGGGCTCCCACAGAGAAGGCCCTCCCCCTGGGTGTCGCCAGCCGACATAACTTGGCCGATGGCACCCTGAGGAGACCCTCTCTGTGGGAGCGAACTGGCCGGTGGGAGGCTATTGGTGGCAGAAGTCGGTCTCGAAGGTACCTGGGTCCTATGCCATGGAGCGCTTTAAAGGTGGTAACCAGCACCTTGAATTGCACCCGAAAGACCACTGGGAGCCAATGCAGCTCGCGCAGGAGGGGTATCACACGGGCACAACGAGTTGCACCCATAACCACCCGCGCGGCCGCATTCTGGACCAGTTGGAGCCTCCGAGTGCTCTTCAAGGGGAGCCCCATGTAGAGAGCATTACAATAGTCCAGCCGGGGGGTGACAAGGGCATGAGTGATCGTGCGCAAGGCGTCCCGGTCCAGAAAGGGCTGCAACTGGCGGATCAGGCGAACCTGATAAAAGGCCCCCCTGGCCACAGCCGTCATGTGCTCTTCTAAAGACAGCCATGCGTCCAGGAGGACACCCAGATTGCGAGCCCTCTCCGTGGGGGGCAAAGATTCACCCCCAATAGTCAGCGATGGCACCTGCTGACTATATCGGGACGCCGGCAGCCACAGCCACTCGGTCTTGGACGGATTGAGTCTGAGCCTGTTCCTCCCCATCCAGACCCGCACGGCCTCCAGGCAGCGAGACATCACATCAAGGGCATCATTGGGGTGGTCTGGGGTGGAGATGTACAGCTGAGTATCATCAGCGTACAGGTGACACTTCACCCCAAAACCACGGATGATCTCACCCAGCGGCTTCACATAAATGTTGAACAGGAGGGGCGAGAGGACCGACCCTTGTGGCACTCCCCATGCGAGACGCCTCGAGGTCGACCTCTGCCCCCCTGCCAACACGAACTGCGAGCGGTTGGAGAGGAAGGAGGAGAACCACCGCAGAACGGTGCCCCCTATTCCTAACCCTCTCAACCGCTGCAGCATGATACCATGGTCGATGGTATCAAAAGCCGCTGAGAGGTCTAATAGGACTAGGACAGAGGAGCAACCCCTGTCCCGGGCCCTCCAGAGATCATCCACCAACGCGACCAATGCTGTTTCTGTGCTGTGCCCCCGCCTGAAGCCCGACTGGCACGGGTCTAGATAGATAGCTTCATCCAGGTGCCCGGGCAGTTGTCGTGCCACCACGCTCTCAACAACCTTCGCCACAAAACGAAGGTTGGAGACCGGACGGTAGTTAGCTAATTCAGCCGGGTCCAGGGAAGGCTTCTTGAGGAGGGGTCTCACCACCGCCTCTTTCAAGGCGGCGGGAAAGGCACCCTCACTCAGAGAAGCAGTTATAATCCCCTGGAGCCAGCCTCGTGTAACCTCCCGGGAGGCCAGTACCAACCAGGAGGGACACGGGTCCAATAAACATGTGGCGGCACTAATCCTACCCAGAACCCTGTCCACATCCTCGGGAGCCACAGGATCAAACTCCTCCCAGATAATATTCTCAAGACCTGCCCTTGTCTCCTCCCCTGGACTCATCCAATCGGACTCCAAGCCATCCCGAATCCGAGCGACTTTATCATGCAGGAATTGCACAAAATCCTCAGCGCGGCCCTGCAAGGGATCTTCCCGCACTCCCCCCCGAAGAAGGGAGTGGGTCACCCTAAACAGGGCGGCTGGGCGGTTCTCTGCAGATGCGATAAGAGCGGGAAAATGGTTAGATTTCGCCGCTTTTATCGCCACTAGGTAGGTCTTGATATAAGACCTCACCTGTGTCCGGTCGGAATTGGATTGACTAGTCCTCCAAATGCTCTCTAGGCGTCTTTTCCGACGCTTCATCTCTCTCAGCTCCTCAGAGAACCAAGGAGCCAATTGAGATCGGCATCGGGTCAGAGGCCGCAAAGGCACGACGCGGTCCAAAGCTCCGGCGGCCGCACTCTCCCAGGCGGCCACCAGCTCTTCAGTCGAGTCGTGTGCCAGGGTCTCAGGAATCGGCCCAAGCTCCGTCAGGAACCTTTCGGGGTCCATCAGGCGCCTGGGACGGAACCATTTGATCGGTTCCGTCTCCCTGCGGCGGGGGAAAGCGGTAGGAAAGTCTAAGTGAAGGAGTGAATGATCCATGACAAGGGTTTGATGTCTAGGTCCCCTCTACCAAGGTCATTCAACCACTGACCAGAGACGAAAATCAGGTCCAGAGTGTGTCCCCCTATGTGAGTTGGGCCTTGAACTAACTGGGTCAGGTCCATGGCCGTCATGGAAGCCATGAACTCCCGAGCCACCTCTGACGCCTCACCCGCAGACGGAAGGTTGAAATATATATATATTTAACCATCACCCCACCTCTCTGTGATTCTACGGGGTGCTGATATTTTTTAGAATGATGGTCCTCTGTGGACAACTTAACTTGTGGGTTCCTATCACGCATTCTGATGATTTGCTCAGTTCATCCAATTTTATGAATTTGCATAAAATAGTACAGCTAGAATCGTAAGTGGCGCGGTGGCCTAGAGGTGGAGCTCTGGCCTCACAGTCAGGAGGGCTGTGAGTTCGATCCTAGGTAGAGGCAGATATTTCTCTCTCTGGGCACACTGAGAATATATCTGCTGGGGGAAAAAAAAACTCCGCATTGGTGACAGGAAGGGCATCTGGCCAGTAAACAAAACTCAGCATTGGTAACAGGAAAGGCATCCGGCCAGTAAACACTCAGCTCCATTCAGTTGCCCAGACTCCGCCCCATAAAGGATTATGTTAAAAGAGGATGATGACTATAACTAGAATCATGGCCCTACATCACTCAGTACGTCACATAAATACAACTTTTATATAGTCAAAACCAGTGATGGGTTTCAAATTTTTTTAGTACCGATTCTGTGGATGTGGCTTGGACGTGGCGTGGCATGGCTTCGTGGGTGTGGCAGGGGAAGGACACTGTAAAATCTCCATTCCCACCCCACTCCAGGGGAGGCAGAGAATAGATGCCGCCGGGGCCAATCTGCATCCCGAGTCCCAGCTGATCAGGTGGAAATGGGGATTTTGCAGTTTCCTTGGAGTTGGGTGGGAATGGAGATTTCACAGTGTCCTTCCCCTGCCACGCCCACCAAGCCACACCCATACTGAGTGATGTAGGGCCATGATTCTAGTTGTAGTCATCACCCTCTTTTAATGCAATCCTTTGCGGGGTGGAGTCTGGGCAACTGAGTGGAGCTTTCCTGTTGCCAATGCAGAGTGGTATTTACCGGTTCTCTGAACTACTCAAAATTTCTGCTACCGGTTCTTCAGAACCTGCTGAAACCCACCTCTGGTCAAAACTATTTCTTCTACACACAAAGAAAAGCACTTAAAACCACAACTCAGCTCCAAATTTTCATTGCTAGGTGAAGCCTGTTGTAAAGGGAGTTTTGCTCCATTTTACAAACTTTGTATTAAAAACTTTGTTTTTAAGCAAGCCACTACAGTTGTTAAAGCACTACATTCCACAGCACGTCCCGCTTGACATCATCATGGGTCCCACATAAATCAGAGAGATGAATTATTAGAAGTACAAGCATGCAAGGGATATGATTGTTAGAAGGCGGAGCCTGTTAAATCTGGGATTTTGCTTTAAACTCCTGAGAGGTCAAAAAGTAGAATTTCCTTTTGGGAAGCCTGCAGGAGTTAGCCAACATTTTCCCTCTCCCTCCGATCTCGGTTGCATCTTCCTCTTAAAACCTTGAATTAAATTTGGGATTAGAATTAAGAAGAGGGAAATGTATGCTTCTGGGGGGGAAAAAAATCTGCATTTATTTTAAAAAGCATTGCACTAAACGTAGAAGAGAAAAAGGCACAGTGCCGAAAATAGTTCCTTCAGTTGAGCCACTCTTGGGAAACTGAGCTTCAGGTTTCTATTCCTGTTGACTACAAGTCCCAGAGTGCATAGGGTGACTTAAAAAAAAAAAAGTACTAGTCCCAAGATTCAGTGGGAGTTCCTGACTGTAGCCTCTGATGCGAACCTAGAGATAAAAATTAGAGAAGAGCTCTAATCACTGGAGATAACACTTCCGGGCTCATTTAAAAAAAGAATCCCTAGGAATTAAAACAAGTGCATTTGAATTTTTTGCATGTTTACTTCAAAATCCTGGCAAAGGTTGCTGCCACTGCAGTAAGGTTAGGATTAGCATACGGTTAGCCCAGTAGAGATGTTTGCTTGGATATTTGCAGGCAGACTGGGTGCAAAACTCAAGATTCTCAAGGAGCCTTGGTAGTACAGTGGTCTAAAGCACCCTGTTATTAAGACCAGCTGCCTGCAATTACTGCAGGTTCGAATCTCGCCAGGCTCAAGGTTGACTCAGCCTTCCATCCTTTCTAAGGTAGGTAAATTGAGGACCCAGTTTGTGGGGGCAATAAGCTGACTTTGTATAAATATACGAAAGTGTGAAGGCTATTGCTTAACGCACTGTAAGCCGCCCTGAGTCTCCGGAGAAGGGCGGCATATAAATCAAATTAAAAAAAAAAAAAAAGATTCAAAAATGAAATAAAATAAGGGAAGTAGAACAAAATTACATGTTGCATTTCCATGCTACTTACAGGTTGCAAAACCCTTAAAGCAGGAGTGTTTTAAAGTGGTTTTTAAGACTAGTGGATTTCGAACATAATCTTAAATATGGTTAGAATTATTCTGTGAAATTATTATTACTATCAGTATATGTGTTATTTTTTTTCTTATTTTTTTTTCTTTGGTAAAATGATATGCCCTGGGCAATACACTGTATTCAAAATATTGATATATAAATAAATAAATCTTGACAAACGCACCAAAAAAAAAAAAGGCTAGTGGACTTCAACTCCCAGAAATCCCCAGCCAGCCCACAGCACAGCTGGCTGGGGAATTCTGGGAGTTGAAGTCCACTAGGCTTCAAAGCAGTCCAGGTTGTACACCACTGCCTTAAAAGTTTTTGTGGGAGGGGAATTCCTCTCCCTGACCCCGCCCACCCCATCCCCTTGGAAGCCCTTGGAACCCCAGCATGCTTTCAGATGGGTGGACTTCAACTCCCAGAATCCCCCAGCCAGCTACCTGGGGAATTCTGGGAGTTGAAATCCCCTAGCCTTAAAAGCAGTCCACCCTTTCCTTAAAAGTTTTTTGTGGGAGGGCAATTGCTCTCCCTGACCCCGCCCACCCCATCCTTTTGGAAGCCCATCTCTATTCCTCCCCCCGCACTTCCAAAAGCAATTCTTCCCAGCGTGCCTTGCAAAAGTTGGGACTTCAGCGCCCATGCTCCTTTGCGCGGCGGGGCGTGGCCGGGCCGGTGGCGCAGGCGTGATTGTTTTGCAGCCGCGCGTTTGAATTGCAGAGGAGGGGAGGTGAGTGGCGGGCGAGGGAAGAGTTGGGGGGGGGCGTTGCAAGGGGGCGCGGAGCCCCCTTTCCCCATTTGCAGCAAAGGGGTGGGAAAAGCCCCTCCGCGACCCGGCCGGGCTGGAGAAGGGATTGCAAGGAGGGTTAATTTACCAGCGCCCTCCAGCCGCTTGCAAAGCCGGTGGGGAGGGTCCTTTTGTCCCTAAAGGGATTGGGGGAAGGGTCCGGATCCCACCCGACCTTTTTCCCAGGAGGGGATTTTGCTTTGCATGGTGGAAGGGACGATTACTTAGAAACTGTGTGTATATATATATATATATATATATATATGGGGGTTGAATCAACCTCAGTCGTATGTATGTGATTTTGTTTCGTTATAGTCTTCTTTCTGTTTTTTGTCTCTAATTTATAATAAAAAATTTTTTTAAAAAAGTTGTGGAAGGGACCTTGGAGGTCATCTAGTCCAACCCCACTCCTGACGCAGGAGAGCTGTACTGGGGATTTGAACCGCCCAACTCCCGACCTTTCTTTATAGATTGCAATTCCCAGAATTGGGGATTGCAATTCCCAGAATTCCCGGCCGGAGAACATGCATTACTAATCAATGGACTTGAATTCCCAGAATTCCCCAGCCAGTAGGTGTGGACTTTTTGACTCCCAGAATTCCCTGGATGGCAAGCTTTAAGACAGTGTTTCTCAACCTTGGTAGCTTGAAGATGTGTTTGACTCCCAGAATTCCCTGGCCACCATGTTTTTTTAAGATTCATAAACTTCAACTCCCAGAATTCCCTGTGGCCAGCATTCTTTAAAGATGTGTGGACTTAGATGCCAGCATTCCTCATCCCCTGGGCCTGGTGGGAAATTGAAGTCCCCCTCTATTAAAAGTCGTCTGGCTGGGGAATTCTGGGAGCTGAAGCCCACCCCTCAAAGCATGCTGGCTGGGGAATTCTGCGAGTTGGAGTCTAACCTCTTAACCTTGTCAAAATTGAGAAACACTGCCTTAGAGTAACACTGAACTTTCAAAGGGAGCCCGTGCTTCCCTGCTGTGGATGATGGGGCCTTCTCTTGCTTGTCGGGCCTTCAGAGCTTCTCTTCTCTTCTTGCCTTGCAGCCCTGCAGTGGCCATGGGGCTGAAAAGTACCCAGAAGGCCTTATTCCCTTTGCGCTCCGTCTCCGACGTGGTGCGCCTCTTCGAACTGGAACTCCACCGGGAGCAGCCGGATCTGGTACTCCTTTCTCTGGTGTTGGGCTTCGTGGAGCACTTCCTGGCCGTCAACCGAGTTCTTCCCACCAACGTTCCCGGCATCAGCTTCGAGCCGGCTCAGGGCCCCGAAAGCCTCACCTACTTCCCCGTGGCTGACTTGAGCATCGTGGGCGCCCTGCATGCCCGCTTCACCGCCCAGATCCGAGGTGCCGTAGATCTCTCGCTCTACCCCCGGCCGGATGGTTACTCCTCCCGGGAACTGGTCAAGAAAGTCTCGGACGTTATCTGGAACAGCCTGAGCCGTTCTTATTTCAAGGACCGAGCCCACATCCAGTCGCTGTTCAGCTTCATCACAGGTGGGGGCACTGTACTGGCGTGGGACATGGGTGGAAGATCTTAGGACCGTGATAGCGAACCTATGGCACGCATGCCACAGGTGGCACGTGGAGCCATATCGGTGGGCACGTGAGCATTGCCCTAATTCAGCTCTGGCATGCACATCTGATTTTTGGGCCTTCTGGGCCCACCGGAAGTCAGCAAATGGACCATTTCCAACCTCCGGAGGGCCTCTGTGGGGGGTGGGGAAGGCCCGTTTTCGCCCTCCCCAAGCTCCCAGAAAGCCTCTGGAGCCCGGGGAGGGTGAGAAACGGGACTTCTGGTCCAACTGGAAGTTGGCAAACGGGCCGTTTCCGGCCTCCAGAGGCTTTCTTGGAGCCTGTGGCGGGCGAAAAATGGGCCTACCAGGCCCACCATGCCATCGCCAAAAACAGGGGGAGCGCAGGGGATGTGTGTCAGGCGTGCATGCACAGGGGAGGGGGGCGCATTGAATTATGGGCATGGGCACATGCACACATGATCCCCCCACACTCCCCCCACTTTTGGCACGCGATGGCAAAAAGGTTAGCCATCACTGTCTTAGGAGATGCTGCCAAGGGGGAACGGACAGGTCATCCTCGACTTATGACTGTAATTGAGCCCAGAATTACGGTCATAAATTATGTCAGTGGTTAAGCAGACGTGACCGTCCCAATTGTTCGACATTTGTTTGTGATGGTCGTTAAGGGAATCATTACGTGTCCGGAATGGGCGCTTTTTGCCAGATGTTGGAAGTAAATGCCGGTTTCTGACAAAAAAAAAACAACTTGTAAGTCATGGGACCCTGGAACATTGTAAAAACCAGAAAGGTGAGCCGGTTGCTCCATGTCCCAAATGAGATTATTCGCTGTCAGGGTTCCGATGGATGCCCTAATTAAATCATGAGCCTCAAGCCAAGCTTCAAAAGAAATCCAGTTATTTATTAGGAGTTTCATGTCTGCACGTTCCCAAGTGAAGCCAACTCGGACCCTACGTAATTTATGCTCCAATTATGTCCCTGTTTTCCCCCTCCCCCACCCAGGGTATGTCACTCCCTTCGGCTGCTGTAGGTAACCCTGGGATACAGCCTTGAGAGAAATTTGCGTGGAATGTGCGTCTGTCTTTGGCTGCTGTGCCATTTTGCCGGTTTCCCATCCCCCCCCAGGCCTATGGCAACTCGAGAGCAGGCCAGGGATGCTTTGCGAGTTGACATTCAATCACGTGACCACATTGAGACTTTGAATCCAGGTGGTAAATACCATTTTGGGGGTCCATTGTTAAAGATGCTGAGCTTGTCAGCTGAAGAGCTGACAGTCCAGGGTTCGAGACCCAAGTGCTGTGCGATGGGGTGAGCTCCCTGTTCCTTGCTCCAGCTTCTGTTCACCTATCAGTTCGAAAGCAGGCACATGCGAGTAAATAAATAGGTACCACTTCGGTGGGAAAGTAACAGCCTTCTGTGCACCTCGGTGTATGGTCATGCTGGCCACATGACCACGGAAGGGACTTCGGACAATGCTGGCTCCCTCAGCTAAGAAATAGAGGTCAGCACCACACCCTAGAGTCGGACACAAGTGGATAGGTAGTGCTAGATCGCAATGGAGCCTGAAATTTATGTTGCTAAGCGAGACATTTGTTAAGTGGGTTTGCTCATTTTACGACCTTTCTGGCCATAGTTGCTAAGTGAATCATGACAGTTGTTAACGAAGTAACACAGTTGGCTTCCCCCTGGACTTTGCTTGCCAGAAGCTGCTCACAGACCATCATAAATATGAATCAGTGTCAACCGTCATAAATATGAATCGGTTGCCAAAGATCCAAATTTCAATCGTGATCATGAGGATGTAAGTGCGAAAAATGGCCAGAAGTCTGTTTTTTGTTGTAACCTTGAACAGTCACTAAACAAATTGTTGTAAGTTGAGGACTGCCTTTTTTGTAACTTCAGATGGTCGTTAATTGGGTAGTTGTAAGTCAAGGACCACCTGTGTTCCTATCCATCATATTTTGCAATTTTTTACATGTTTATAAGCCACCTATGGAGTATAAATTGAAAAATAAAAGGTAAAGGTTCCACTCGCAGATACGTGCTAGTCGTTCCTGACTCTAGGGGGCGGTTCATCTCCGTTTCAAAGCCGAAGAGCCAGCGCTATCCGAAGACGTCTCCGTGGTCATGTGGCCGGCATGACTCAAGGCCAAAGGCGCACGGAACGCTGTTCCCTTCCCACCAAAGGGGGTCCCTATTTTTCTACTAGCATTTTTTTTAATGTGCTTTCGAACTGCTAGGTTGGCAGAAACTGGGACAAGTAACAGGAGCTCACCCCGTTACGCGGCACTAGAGATTCGAACCGCTGAAGTGCCGACAAGCTCAGTGTCTTAGCCCCTGAGCCACCGCGTCCTGTTGAAGAATAGGTTTGCTCAAATGTCTTTCTAAAGTTGGTTTAATGTTTCTCCGGCTCAGGTACCAAGTTGGACAGTTCTGGGGTGGCCTTTGCGGTGGTCGGCGCATGCCAGGCCCTGGGGCTCTATGATGTGCACCTGGCACTCTCGGAAGATCACGCGTGGGTCGTGTTTGGGAAAGACGGGGAGCAGACGGCCGAGGTCACGTGGCACGGGAAAGGCAATGAGGACCGGCGTGGGCAGACGGTCAACTCGGGCGTGGCCGAGCGGGTAACAAAAAACGGCTTCTCTTCTTTGTTTTAATTCTCCCTTGCATTTCTCACGGAAAAATCCATGCCAGAATTTCCTTCTTTCTTTCTTTCTTTCTTTCTTTCTTTCTTTCTTTCTTTCTTTCTTTCTTTCTTTCTTTCTTTCTTTCTTTAATTTATATGCCGCCCTTCTCCGAGAATCTTATTAGATTCTCAAGAATTGCTGTGGTTTTTTTTTTATTATTATTTTAAATTTTTTATTAAGTTTTTAATTAAAGACAAAACACAAAACCACACCCAGTGTATAATACAAAATAGGGAGAAGCAGAGGAATTTTTTCTTCATCTTCAGGTCTTCCAAAATTCTCTTTGCATTGGCACTGGCATTATTTCTTCCAAGTTCCCGATTGCGTAGTCCACAAATGGTTGCCATATCCTCCAAAATATATTTTCTTTCAATAGTCCTTTTTTGAATTTTATATCACACGTTAACTTATCATTAAGAGCAATTTTCCAAACTTCTCTGAACCATTCATTTATTTTGTATTCAATATTCAATTTCCAGTATCTTGCAATCACAATTCGTCCCACAATGACCAATATCCTTACAAGCTCTCTTTCATCAATTGTTAACACCTTGTCATTCAACTTTAATATGAGGATGGTATCTACTCCCAACTTTACCTTCTTTTTAATTATTTTACTAGATTCTTCTTCTATTTGTAACCAAAAATTCTTCACTTTACGACACCCAAACCACATGTGTTCGTATGTCCCATTCTCCACTTTACATCTCCAACATAACTTGCTAGCACTTTTATTCATTTTATATAATCTTATTGGGAACAGGTACCATTTCCAGATAACTTTATAACTATGCTCCTTTATTCTTATTGATAAGGTCCTCATTATTCTACTATTCCAATTCAAAATCCATTCCTGTTCTGTAATATCTGTTTCTAAATCTTTTACCCAATTATCTTTCATCACCATTTCCAAATTACTATCCAAATTAATAATTTTATATACCTTACTAACCGATCCCTTAATTCCAATTTCTTCCATTCCTAATTGGGATACTATTTCTTTAAATTCCGTTTTTAACCTTTCTACCCTCGTTCTATCCTTATAGAATTGCTGTGGTTATTTGAAGGCGTTTTAGAGACTATTTGGCTGCTTTGTTTGTTTGTTTGTTTGCTTATTTTTATCCCACCTTTATTATTTTATAAATCGCTCAAGGCAGCAAGCATACCTAATAGTCACGCCTCCTCCTAATTTCTCCAAAACAACAACCCTGTGAGGTATGTTAGGCTGAAAGGGAGTGATTGGCTCAGAGTCACCCAGCTAGTCCTTAAGGCGGGATTAGAACTCACCATCGCCTAGTTACTGGCCCAAAGTCACCCAGCCAGCTTTCATGTCTGAGACGGGACTAGAACTCACCATCTCCTGGTGATTGGCCTAAAATCACCCGGCCAGCTTTCAGGCCTAAGGCAGGAATGGAACTCACTGTCTCCTGGATTCTAGTGTGATACCTTCACCACCAGAAAAGGATGGGAATCTGTCTTGAATGTGTCGGTCATTATTCTGCAAGTCAACCAAGCCCTGAATTCCTCCTTCAGACCTTCTCCTCTCTTTGCAGAGCTGGCTCTACCTGAAGGGCTCCTACCTGCGTTGCACTCGGCAAATGGAAGTTGCTTTCATGGTCTGTGCCATCAACCCCTCCATTGACCTGCACTCCGACAGCCTGGAGTTGTTGCAGCTCCAGCAGGTGAGCAAAACACAGGTCTAAGCTTGAGGCTTGATCGGGGCCAGAGAAGGTCCTCCAGTCCACCCCTTGTGACGTGGCCTTCATCTCTTCTAAGCCATCCTCGTCTTCAGGGGAGGGTTAGTGGTGTATGGCAGTGTTTGATAACTGTGGCAACCTTAAGATGAAGGTTGCCACAGGTGAAGTCCATTCACCTTCCAGAATTCCCCAGCCAGCATATTTTAAGATGGGTGGACTTCAACTCCCAGAATTCCCCAGTTAGCATGCTTCAAGATGGGTAGACTTCAACTCCCAGAATTCTCTAGCCAGCCTGCTTTGAAATGGGAAGACGTCAACTCCCAGAATCCCCCAGCCAGCATATTTTAAGATGGGTGGACTTCAACTCCCAGAATCCCCCAGCCAGCCTGCTTGAAGATGGGTGGACTTCAACTCCCAGAATTCCCCAGCCAGCCTGCTTTAAGATGGGTGGACTTCAAGACATGCACCATTTGGAGAGGTAAGTAGTTCCCACTTCCTTTAGGGGCCTGCCCTAATTTGTGGCTGGGAGAGCCACCAAGCAGGAGGTTAGACTAGAAGACCTCCAAAGGTCCCTTCCCATTTTGTTATTGTGTTAACTAGCGCGAGTCACAATAGAAGAGAATATTTATTGGGGTTGGGCCGTGGGGGTCCTTGATGGTCTGTGAGCTGGGTGGTTTTCTTGCAGACGTCTTATGACCCAACTAGGTAACATCATCAGTGTTCAAAGGGAATAGAGTCGAGGGGAGAGGTAGGGGGCGGGAAGAGGAGAAGAAGCGGGGAGGAGGAGGAGGAGAGAAAGAAAGAAGAGAAGGAGGAGGGTCCTTGGTGCTTTCTGAGCTTGGTTGTTTTCTTGCCGACGTTTCATAATTCAACTAGGGTCCATCATCCTCAGTGCTAGAAGGGAAGCAAACACTCCCTTCAAGCACTGATGAGATTAGCTAGTTGGGTCATGAAACGTCTGGAAGGAAAAATCCAAGCTCAGAGGAGCACCAAAGACCCTATAGCTTGAATTCTGATAGACCATGTCGTTGGGGTACCTTCACCTCGGCTGATTGAAGCGGGGTAACGGATTCCTTCTCTCTTTATCTCCCTGCTGGTCGACTTGAGATCTGCTTGCCTTAAGGGTGCCATCTTTAAACCCAGAAGACCAGGGCTTTGAGGTTCGGATGTCCTGTAGAGATTCTCCTTCTCATTGTAGGTATCCCATGGCTTTGGGGAATCTGGCTGATCTCGAAGAACTCGAACCCACCCCGGGCCGTCCTGACCCTCTCTTCATCTACCACCAGGTATTTTCCTGCCCTTTAAGCAGGGGAGAATTGCTGGGGGTTCGGGAGAACCTGTAGCTAAGAGTCTGTGCAGTTCTGAGAAACCCCCCCCCCCAAATCCCACTCCTGGCTGGCGCTACCCACCCCTCCCCTCCCAAGAGTCCCCACGCAGCCCGTTTTGGATGCAGGTAAATGCAGGGCGCTCGAGGAGGGCAAAAAACGGTCCTACAGGAAGTTTGGGAAGGCTGGAAATGGGCCCGTTTCTGGCCTCCAGAGGGCCTCCGGTGCCTGGGGAGGCTGTTTTCGCCCTCCTGGAGGCTCAAAGAAAGCCTCTGGAGCCTGGGGAGGGCAAAAACACCCCGCCCGCTGCCATGGTGCAGGAGGCCGACTAGGCCACGCCCACCATGGCCACGCCCACCCAGCAACCGAGCAGAGAACCCCTTGCTTAAATTTTTGAAGCCCACCCCTGCCTTTAAAGATATGGGTGGGTGGGTGGATGGGAGGAAAAAAGGCCTACTTCACGGTGATATTAAAAACCAAAGCTTTATTTGTGTGTCTTCTCATAATAAACAAATTTGTCACATAATAAACGCATAATAAGTTCTCGTAATAAACAAATTTGTCTCAACTTTGAGGGAAGTTATCCTGAGATTTATCCTATGCCTTTTCTCTAGGGCAGTGATGGCTAACCTTTTTGTCCTCGTGTGCCGAAAACACGTGCCCATACCCACAATGCAGTGCGTGTACGACGCCCCCTGCGCATGTGTGCGACCCCCACATGTTCCCCCTGCCCTTGTGTGTATGATCCCCCCCCCGTGCTCCCCCCCCGGGCATGCGTGTGACACCACCCCGCACCCCGTTTTGGGCCTAGCAGGCCTCCCTGCATGAAGCACCCACAGCTTCTGGTGGCAGGCTGTTCCACTGGTTAATAGTTTTCACAGTTAGGAAGTTTCTCCTTAATTCCAGGTTGCTTTTCGCTTTGATTAGTTTCCATCTGTTGTTTCTTATCTTGTCTTCTGGGGCTTTGGGAAATTCCGAGATCGGGAAATTCCTACAGGGAGGTCAAAGGACACCGTGCAGATACCTGGATTTTAACCCTCCTTTTGTAACTCCCCCTCTTGTCTCCTACCAGGGGATCAACTCAGCCAAGCAATATTACAACAACGAGCACATTTACCCGTACATCTACCTGGCCAGCTATCACTGCCGTAACAAAAATGTCAAGGAAGCCCTGGAGGCGTGGGCTGACTCGGCTACCGTCATTCAAGAGTAGGTCACTTTTAATGTCCTCTTTTGAGCCACCGCATCCCACTTTATCTGCTGATAATCAGCCTTATTTATGTGTCCCTCTTTCCGGTTTCTGCACTTGCCCTTTTTGTCTTTCAGTTTGTCAGAGAGACCTGTGTGCAGCCATGATGGTTTCTTCTGGAATTTCTTGTTTTTTCTTTTTTTCAGTGGTATTGCGCATGACTGGGCTTTTATGATTGCATTTTTTCTTTGTGTGTTTTTCTTTGTCTCTTGGTCTGAAGTTACAACTACTGCCGAGAGGATGAAGAGATTTATAAGGAATTCTTTGACGTGGCCAATGACGTCGTTCCCAATTTGCTCAAGGAAGTGGCCAGCCTTGCGGACTCTATAGAAGAGAAGGGAGCTGGGGAAAGAGGAGAGGTCAGTGACGAAAGGATAATAATACTAAATAATCAACAATTGCTATATGGCCAATTACACTAGTCCTTGACTTACACCACAATGGAACCCACATTTCCATTACTAAGCAAGACAGTGGTTAAGTGAATCCCCCCCCATTTTACGACCTTTGTTAAGTGAATCACTGCAGTCATTAAATGAGTAATGCGGTTGTAAAGTGAACCAGGCGTCCCCATTGACTCTGCTTGTCAGAACGTTGCACTAGACACTGCAACCGTCATAAATATGAGTCAGTTGCTAAGCGTCTCAGTTTTGATTGCATGACCGTGGTAATGCTGACACGGTCGTAAAGGAGAACGATCATAAGTTACTTTTTTCAGTGCCGTTATAACTTCGAACGGTCACTAAAGGAGCTGTTGTTAGTCGAGAGTTACCGTGTTTCCCTGAAAATAAACCGTCCCCTGAAAATAAGACCTCCCCTGAAAATAAGACCTCCCTGAAAATATTTAAGAGCATGCACAGCCGGTCCCCGCCGTTTCCTCTGGTTAGGGTTAGGGAGACAGAGTTGGAAATCAGGTAAGACGGCAAGAGGAGCCCCGTCTTGCTCCACGCGCCCCAAAATAATAAGACCTCCCCGAAAATAAGGCCAAGCGCTTATTTCGGGGTTCAAACAGATATAAGACAGGGTCCTGTACTCCCATTGCTGAAGAATTTGCTTTCCTCTTCAGGCTTCGCCATCTCAAACGGGAGGCTCGGCGTTGCAGGACCCCGAGTGCTTCGTCCACCTCCTGCGCTTCTACGACGGCATCTGCAAGTGGGAAGAGGGCAGCCCCACGCCCGTCCTTCACGTGGGCTGGGCCACCTTCCTGGTCCAGTCCCTCAGCCGCTTCGATGGGACGGTGAGATGTCGGTCCTTGGCACAGAAGAGGGCTGGGGATGCAGGTTTGGCCGAGGTGGACGTTTTTAATGGCTTGGGAAAATGTGGTTTAGTACAATGTCGTTTTAAGAAATGCCAAGAGGGCTTTGCGGCCTTCTCAGAGGGGGTCACTGGATTGGAGCTGATGTATTCTGCCAGGGCGGGATGGCTGCATACAACAGCAGAGGAAGACTGTAGAGTGTTTCCAATGTTGGTAACTTGTAAGATGTCTGAGCTACAACTTCCCAAATTCCCCAGCCAGTATGTAGTAAAATGTCTGAATTACAACTCCCAGAATTCCCTAGCCAGCATGCTGTAAGATGTCTGAACCAAAATTCCCCAGCCAGCATGCTTTAAGGTGTCTGAACTACAACTCCCAGAATTCCCCAGCCAGTATGCTTTAAGGTGTCTGAACTACAACTCCCAGAATTCCCCAGCCAGTATGTAAGATGGCTAAACTATAACTCCCAGAATTCCCCAGCCAGCATGGTTTAAGAGGGGTGGGCTTCAACTCCCAGAATTCCCCAGCCAGCATGCTTTAAGACGGGAGGACTACAACTCCCAGAATTCCCCAGCCAGCATGCTTTAAGACGGAGGACTACAATTCCCAGAATTCCCAGCCAGCATGCTTTAAGATGGGTGGACTACAACTCCTAGAATTCCCCAGCCAGCATGCTTTAAGACGGGAGGACTACAATTCCCAGAATTCCCCAGCCAGCATGCTTTAAGACGGTGGACTTCAACTCCCAGAATTCCTCAGCCAGCATGGTTTAAGATGGTGGATTTCAACTCCCAGAATTCCTCAGCCAGCATGCTTTAAGATGGGCGGACTTCAACTCCCAGAATTCCTCAGCCAGCATGGTTTAAGAGGCATGGACTCGGACTCCCAGAATTCCAGTCAGCATGCTGCTTGTGGAATTCTGGGAATTGTAGTTTAGACATTTTACAACATACTGGCTGGGGAATTCTGGGACTTGTAGTTCAGACATCTTACAACATACTGGCTAGGGAATTCTGGGAGTTGTAGTTCAGACACCTTAAAGCAGTGGTCCCCAACCCCCGTCCGCGGACCGGTTCCGGGCCGTGGAGTACCTGGCACTGGGCCACGCAGCGGCCGGGGGACATGAACGCTGCAGCGCAAAGGCTCCTGGGCCGTGCGCAAAAGCTCCTGGGCCGTGCGCAATGGGCCGTGCGCAAAAGCTCCTGGGCCGTGCCCCCACCCCTGCGCGCGCTCAGCGGGCCGCGGCGATAAAAATGTTGGGGACCACTGCCTTAAAGCATGCTGGCTGGGGAATTCTGGGAGTTGAAGTCCTCCCATCATAAAAGTGCCAAGTTTCAGAAACATAGTTCCCCAGACCGTCGCAAGAAGCTTCCTTGCTTTTCCAGGTGCGGCAAAAGGTGACGCTGGTGAGCCGGGACCTGGATGCGAACGACGACGACGACCAAGGCAGTGAGGATCCCCGGGAAGGCCGGCGGCGGGGTCCTCGCCGAGAATCCAAGCCAGAAGAGCCTCCTCTGGCCAAGAAGGCCACAGAACGTCGACGTCCAAGCACCACCCAGCGATCCGAGAGGCCGCTTCCGGAGAAGGAAGAGGGTCTCAGCAGCAGCTCCAGCCCCCGCCCCGAAGGCCTCATCCTCACTTTCCAGAGTGAGAAAATGAAAGGCATGAAGGAACTCCTGGTAGCGGCCAAGATCAACTCCAGCGCCATCAAACTGCAGCTCACGGCCCAGTCGCAGGTCCAGCTGAAAAAGCAGAAGGTTTCCGCTCCTCGGACATACGCCCTGTCCTTCCTCAAGCGACCACGGAAGTCCCTCTGATCCCCGAGCGAAGCCGGACGAGAAAAACTTTCTGATTTCTTGGCAAAAGTTTGCTCGAGTTCTCTCTTCCTCCAGTTTTCCTCTGGCCAACATTTTGAGAAGACCTGATGATCATCTTCAGCTCTTGGCTGGTTGGCTCAGAAATTCTGCTTTTAAAGGTGGATTTTGACTCCTGTCAGGAAGAGCTTAATTTGGACGGATCCGGAGATAAAACACAACAGCCTGGAGGTTGGGTAGCGTTAGGGACAAAAAAAAACCCCGGAGACTTGAAATGAGATTGAACTGTGCAAAAGGACTTGTTGAACATTTTTTTTTTAACCTCTCTCTCTTAGTCTCCTGTTTGCAAACGGGACGTGGGATAATTCCGTGTTTCTCATGACCAGGCGGGTATAAATCTTTTTTTTAACTGAACGACTGATGATCCTAACACGGCTGAATATCAAAAGATTTGTTATTTAAAAAACAAACATGTGTGGTATTAATGTCGTAACACACCAGCGACCGGTTTGTTGAAGGCATAAAAGCAAGAACAAGACGGAACTAATAGGGATGCACAGACAAATCGTCCCGAGTGACGGCTAACAATTAAAAAAAATTTTTTTTTAAAAAAAATCCAGGTGTGATCATCCCATGAAGATTATCTTTTATGATAAAAGAAATATTTCCACAAGATCTGAGCCGGAGGTTTGGTTCTGCGCTTGTATTAGGAGTTTGAAGAATTTTTCGTAGACGTTTGCGGAGACAGAATTAATAAATTTTAAGGTTCTCTTTTGTTATAGAAAGGAAAATGCCTCTTGTTCTCCTTGAACTTTTGAATCTGCGATGGCTTTTACGATAAAAGTCAGCAGAAAAGCAAAGGTTTTTACCTCAGAAAGAGGGAGAGGAATACTTCTAATCTAAAGTACAGGTAGGCTTCTATGTACAATCATTCGTTTAATGACCTTTCAAAGTTACAATGGCCCTGAAAAAAGTATGATTTATGACCGTTTTTTTTTTTACACAATGGTTACAGCCTGTCTATATCATGATCACAATTCAGAAGCTTGGCAACCGGCTCAGATTTACGATGGTTGCAGTGTCCCTGGGTCACTTGATCCCCTTTATGACCTCAAAAAGTAAAGCAAAGATCCACCGGGAAGCCAGATTCACTTAACAACCGGGTTACTAATTTAACAACTGCAGTGATTCACTTAACAACCGGGTTACTAACTAAACAACTGCAGTGATTCACTTAAACAAGTGTGGCAAGAAAAGGTCGTAAAACAGGGCAAACGTCCCTCAACAACCGGTCTTGCTTAGTTAGCGATGGAAATTTTGGGCTCAGTCGTGGTCATAACTCGAGGACCGCTTGGGAGGTATGAATTTCCTGCTTTTGCAGTTTGTCAGCAACGAAGCAGTTCCAAAATCCCAGGGAATTTTGTTCCTGCCCCAGGCAGTGTTTCATCTCCCTATCTCTTGAGTACAGATTTTTTTTTTTATTGCTGTCTGAGAAAATTGCTGTATTTTCCGGTGTATTAGACGACTTTTTAACACATGAAAATCTTCTCAAAAGTCGGGGGTCGTCTTATACGCCGGGTGTCGTTCTCCTGTAACCAGGCAGACCAGCCCGAAAGGCTCTGACGAACCTTAAATGGCTCTGGCGATCCCAGCTCTGGCGATCCCAGATGAGTTGCCTGCTAATCAGGCAACTCAGCTGGGATCGCCAGAGCCATGTAAAAGGAAAAAAGTTTTCCCCCTCCAGCTTGCTTGCCTTGCTTTGCTTGCCTGAATCCATTCCATCAGCAAGCCACTCCTTGCCCGCAATCAAGCAGGCAGGGAGTTGTGGACTTCAACTCCCAGAATTCCTCAGCCAGCAAAGCAAAGCTGGCTGAGGAATTCTGGGAGTTGAAGTCTACAAGTCTTAAAGTTGCCAAGGTTGGAGACCCCTGTTCTATTGGGTAAGTTTTTTTTCCCCTTTGGGAGCTTTAAAAAAAATAGTTAATTGGGGGTTTTTTTTAGTTGTTCTTTTTTAGACCTAGCCATTTAAAGTTTAGGAAGTTTTAAATTTAGCTTTCATATAAAAATTAAAATAAAATGAAATAATATTTGTGCAGCTTTCTGAGATTTAGTGTGTTTCTGGAGTGTTTCGCTCTAACTACACAAACACACAAAATCTCACAAAGCTGTATGTGGAATTTTGTGTGTTTAAAGTGTGAAAGTTGTTTTTTGGGGGGCTTTTTGTGGCTGTGTGAGGTTCCTGCTTGTTGCAGGGGCCATTTTGGGTCTAGCACAGCTGCTTTTACATTGTGGATGAGCCAATTGTGTTGTGTTGTGTGTGTGTAAAGTGTGAAAGTTGTTTTTTGGGGGGGCTTTTTGTGGCTGTGTGAGGTTCCTGCTTGTTGCAGGGGCCATTTTGGATCTAGAGCAGCTGCTTTTACATTGTGGTGAGCCAGTTGTGTTGTGTTGTGTGTGTGTAAAGTGTGAAGGTTGTTTTTTGGGGGCTTTTTGTGACTGTGAGGTTCTTGCTTGTTGCAGGGGCCATTTTGGGTCTAGCACAGCTGTTTTTACATTGTGGGTGAGCCAGTTGTGTTGTGTGGTGTGTGTGTAAAGTGTGAAAGTTGTTTTTTGGGGGGGCTTTTTGTGGCTGTGTGAGGTTCTTGCTTGTTGCAGGGGCCATTTTGGATCTAGCACAGCTGCTTTTACATTGTGGGTGAGCCAGTTGTGTTGTGTTGTGTGTGTGTAAAGTGTGAAAGTTGTTTTTTGGGGGCTTTTTGTGACTGTGAGGTTCTTGCTTGTTGCAGGGGCCATTTTGGGTCTAGCACAGCTGTTTTTACATTGTGGGTGAGCCAGTTGTGTTGTGTGGTGTGTGTGTAAAGTGTGAAAGTTGTTTTTTGGGGGGCTTTTTGTGGCTGTGTGAGGTTCTTGCTTGTTGCAGGGGCCATTTTGGGCCTAGCACAGCTGTTTTTACATTGTGGGTGAGCCAGTTGTGTTGTGTGGTGTGTGTGTAAAGTGTGAAAGTTGTTTTTTGGGGGGCTTTTTTGTGGCTGTGTGAGGTTCTTGCTTGTTGCAGGGGCCATTTTGGATCTAGCACAGCTGTTTTTACATTGTGGGTGAGCCAGTTGTGTTGTGTGGTGTGTGTGTAAAGTGTGAAAGTTGTTTTTTGGGGGGCTTTTTGTGGCTGTGTGAGGTTCTTGCTTGTTGCAGGGGCCATTTTGGGCCTAGCACAGCTGCTTTTTACATTGTGGGTGAGCCAGTTGTGTTGTGTGGTGTGTGTGTAAAGTGTGAAAGTTGTTTTTTGGGGGGCTTTTTGTGGCTGTGTGAGGTTCTTGCTTGTTGCAGGGGCCATTTTGGGTCTAGCACAGCTGTTTTTACATTGTGGGTGAGCCAGTTGTGTTGTGTGGTGTGTGTGTGTAAAGTGTGAAAGTTGTTTTTTTGGGGGCTTTTTGTGGCTGTGTGAGGTTCTTGCTTGTTGCAGGGGCCATTTTGGATCTAGCACAGCTGTTTTTACATTGTGGGTGAGCCAGTTGTGTTGTGTGTTGTGTGTGTAAAGTGTGAAAGTTGTTTTTTGGGGGGGCTTTTTGTGGCTGTGTGAGGTTCTTGCTTGTTGCAGGGGCCATTTTGGGCCTAGCACAGCTTTTTTACATTGTGGGTGAGCCAGTTGTGTTGTGTGTTTGTGTGTAAAATGTGAAAGTTGTTTTTTTGGGCTTTTTGTGGCTGTGTGAGGTTCTTGCTTGTTGCAGGGGCCATTTTGGGCCTAGCACAGCTGTTTTTACATTGTGGGTGAGCCAGTTGTGTTGTGTGTTGTGTGTGTAAAGTGTGAAAGTTTTTTTTTGGGGGGCTTTTTGTGGCTGTGTGAGGTTCTTGCTTGTTGCAGGGGCCATTTTGGGCCTAGCACAGCTGTTTTTACATTGTGGGTGAGCCAGTTGTGTTGTGTTGTGTGTTGTGTGTGTAAAGTGTGAAAGTTGTTTTTTTGGGGGGGCTTTTTGTGGCTGTGTGAGGTTCTTGCTTGTTTGCAGGGGCCATTTTGGGCCTAGCACAGCTGCTTTTACATTGTGGGTGAGCCAGTTGTGTTGTGTGTTGTGTGTGTAAAGTGTGAAAGTTGTTTTTTGGGGGGCTTTTTGTGGCTGTGTGAGGTTCTTGCTTGTTGCAGGGGCCATTTTGGGCCTAGCACAGCTGTTTTTACATTGTGGGTGAGCCAGTTGTGTTGTGTGTTGTGTGTGTAAAATGTGAAAGTTGTTTTTTTTGGGCTTTTTGTGGCTGTGTGAGGTTCTTGCTTGTTGCAGGGGCCATTTTGGGCCTAGCACAGCTGTTTTTACATTGTGGGTGAGCCAGTTGTGTTGTGTGTTGTGTGTGTAAAGTGTGAAAGTTGTTTTTTTTGGGGGGCTTTTTGTGGCTGTGTGAGGTTCTTGCTTGTTGCAGGGGCCATTTTGGGCCTAGCACAGCTGTTTTTACATTGTGGGTGAACCAGTTGTGTTGTGTGGTGTGTGTGTAAAAGTGTGAAAGTTGTTTTTTTGGGCTTTTTGTGGCTGTGTGAGGTTCCTGCTTGTCGCAGGGGCCATTTTGGGTTTTTTAATTTTTAATTTTTAATTTTAATTTTTATTTGGTGTGCATTGGAAATAGGGGTAGTCTTATACGGCGAGTATAGCCCAAACCCTATATTTTAACAGGAAAAGTCGGGGGTCGTCTTATAGTCCCAGTCGTTTTATATACCCCGGAAAATACGGTAAATCTCTTAGCTTTGCTGTAACCTTTTATAAGGGCAAGATGTAGCAGTCCTGAGGCCCCCCCCCCCCCCCCCCTTTATTGTGCCACCAAACTGCAGTCATTTAGAAAGGGGAATCTGAACTTGAAAACAATTTTTTTTAAAAAAATCAAAGCTTCCCTTCTCCCACTTAAAAAGATAAATCTAATTAAAATAAGACGTACCGTACGTCAGTTTCCCAACCTTATTCTCTGGTTTTGTCCAGGGGTCAGCAACCTGCGGCTCTGGAGCTGCATGTGGCTCTTTCACCCCTCTGCTGCGGCTCCCTGTCACTCAAAATATGCATCACAACCGCCAAAATGCGACACCACGCCAGCACGCGATTTATTGAGCTTTTCAACCATGGATAAATCCAAGAAAAGAAAAGTTTCAGATGAAAACAGAACGTTTAATTTCAACTACATATGCTAGTTTTGTGGCCGCTCAAGAAATTGTCAGGCACGGGAAGGGTTTTTGTGGCTCCCGGTGTTTTCTTTTCTGTGGGAAACGGGTCCAAATGGCTCTTTTGAGTGTTTAAGGTTGCAGACCCCTGGTTTTGTCAATCCAAGGCTATTGAAGGCATCTCAACGACCAAAAGATCGCTGATCCTGTCACAAGCCTTTATGAAACTTTTAAAAACAGCCGAGTCCAGCATCGTTTAAAATATTCATCATTTGACTCCACAGTATAATTCCTCTAAGATGCAATCTAACTAGGAAAAATAGTCCTGGAAAAAATGGTCCTTTCTTGACCATTCAGCCTCGCGGCATCTTCCCCGCTCAAATTTTGGGGCTGATGTCAGCAGACAGTTTTAGGTGAAGGAAGAGTGGAGAGTGGACATTGTTTTTATTCCCCGTTGCACATATCAGCATCATAGTCTGGGTAGGATGAAAATAGAAAGCAGGTCAGTTCCAGCTTTTAAAGCAACATTTGCAGGAATGACTTCATATCTCTAAAGATTTTAAAGAAAGAAATTTGGCGTAGACGAGACGGCGAAAACCTACCTGAAGAATCCTAAGTAAGATCAAAATCGGTAAACAAGGGGCCCTAAATTTATCATGGAGGCTA